AATCTGAGATCAACTACTGGAATACTGAATGTTTTTTTTTAATCAAATAAATTGCCAAATTTTTTGCAGACAATATTGATTTTATCTTTTGTTTAAATCATATATCCAGGGTACATACTACTGATACACGCAATCTGTTATATATCCATCTATCAATAATCAAAGTCATCCACTTTGTATCACATAAATCTTATGCTGTGCTTTTTATTCATAGACAAAAAAAAGTGATAACTGCGAAATTTAAATTGATCGCAAGCTTGAAATGATTTTTATTTTAAACATTTGGCAGATAGTTTTTTTTTCAAATACCTGAAATATTACCCTTTTTGCAAGAGAGAACATTTCTAGTACTGGATAAAAGTTAGCTGATATTGTAAAACCACCAATGCTATTTTTTTTTGGTTTAAACAGCTTTGAACAGCTCGCTTCGAAGCACTGATTCCGTATTCGAAATAACTCAAGTCAGTGGTGTGTTTATTATCGACTAGTTTGATCAACATGGCTGAGAATGAAGAAAGTTCTCTATATCCCTGTTGAAACGCCCTCATATAGCCTTGAATGTTTAACTACTACCACAGAAGTCCTATTCGATGTCTTCTTGTGGCAGAGGGTGTTGTTTGTTAAATTGAAACTTCGAAAAACGAGTGTCTGACCAAAGCTCTAAACCGGGTTGGTTGGTATAAAGAACCAACCCAAGGCCAGCCGGTAAAAAACCCTAATTGTAGATTCAGTGGTACACATCGTCTCCAGAATTCTGAAAAAATCTCAAATGGCTAATCACTGGCTACTGTACGACTGCATTCCCCTTACATTGTTTCCACTGTCTTGTGTATTAGACCCATTGATCAAAGGCTCAGGGTGTGGCACACTAAGAAAACTACTAATTTACGGTTTGAGCGTCCGACTATTATCTCAGCCCATTTTGTACTAATAATTCTATGTTTACAGAAATAGATAATGAGAGATTAGTTTATCTTGATAGTATCATATTTGCTGAACTTCAATGCTACAAGGTTTATTGATTTTTGACGGAATTCAACATAATTTCATTGGTTAATGGACATGAAATAGTTGTCTTTTATCTATCGTGAATTTTGTCACAATTCTGTGTATCATTAACAAAGAATGAAGTCGTTTTAAGTGGTGTCATTACATCAGTTATTGCTACTGATTGAGCTTCAATACAAAAATAATATTTCGAGTTAACATTCATAAAAATATATCATTTCATGGACGGCAGTGTCAGTCTATGCATAAATTTAGAACTATTCTATAAAAAACTTAAGGTTTACATGCAATTAATGATTTCAGCGATTATTTAAAAGATTTCATTTAAAATACCACGATAATGCATGAAGTCCACGGAAACATCTCGGTCTGGCTGTCTTGCTCTAACTGAAATGACCGCCTCGATGCAAGCTGTTCATGCGAAAATGACAGAGTGGTTGTTTGAATTACAAACTGACTTTTATCTTGTGTCACAGTTTCTTCACTTTATGAAAAATAGAAAAGTGGAACGACAACGTTAGCGTTTCTTCAATTCGAGTCATAGAGATAAGTGTTTGTACATATTGAAATCACCAATCAATCAGTCATTGTTTGAGTACCACTATTAGAAACCTCGAAGCACTGAAAAACGGCTGTTTCATCCTGGTATGGGAATACTCATCAGTAGCAGTGCGCACCCACAACTCCTGCAGCCCGCAGGATTCGAACCCAGCACCTTCGGTCTTGCTCGCGAACGCCTACTGTTATCAATCAATCAATCCACCAATAGCAACGTAAAACTACCTACGTACATACGTACATCAGTTAATGTTGCCATACCACATTAGCACAAAGAAGTAGTTGTCAATTCAGATTTCATACTAGTAGAGGTAGTAAAGGTATTAACAGTAATCGGAAAGATTAGGATTAGAAGATAGTAAAATAAACTTAAAAAGATAAAGTGGTGAGGGATTCAGAAGGTTAGGATTTGAGAGAAACAAAGAGAATGAATGCACCTGCGCCATTGCATACGGTTTCGAGCCATGTCATTCAGGGTCTCTAACCATCGATTATTATCATCTCGCGGACCCCAACCAAGTAGTCGACACCTACCACCAACATGACTCAGTCCACTTGTCAGTGACTTCATGAATTTCTGGAATGTTTTGGTTTGGTCGCCCCTAGCTTTCTTCCAACCTATTCCTAAGCCGCCTAATATGTCACTTTCCAAAAAATTACAAAAATGTGTACCAACACCAAGATAAACAAATTTAAATTGATACGACATAACTTAGTTGCTCCTCCTATTTGAGATGACACAATCACAATCTTCACCATCTTCTTTATCACGAATTTTTACAGGCGTTATAAGTGATACTAATTGAAGATCGATTTCATTTGGGGTGTTATTGTGAATGAACCGGACGAAATTTCAATTGTTCTTTCCCTTTTACTGTATGTCCATAACTTTCTAGTGTTTAACTAAACATCCAACTATCAGAAGGACCAAGTAAATATCTGTATGTATAAATTTCCAACCAGTAAGACAATAATCATCTTATGTGTTTAGTGATAAGATTTTCATTTCAAACATTTCTGACCTATACTGATTACAACCGGTCATTGGAATATCAGTATCTCTGAAGCATTTCTCGTGTATCCTGGGACAAGCGAATAATCAATGCTTTAGTTAAGAAACGAGTATTAGGTAGGGGTGGCAAATCAATTGATGAAGTATTGAAACTTCATCATTTGAGTTGTTTGCGATGTGTGTTACGAATGCCCAACCACCAACTGCCTCGATGAGCGATATTGTCCGATGTTCAATTGGGCTGAAACAAAGCTAGTGGCAGGTAAACCAAAACATGGGAAAATTCATTAAGTCAGTGAAAGCTAAACGGCTGAATCATGTTGGTAAGTGTAGACTATCAGATCAGAGTTCAGCAGACAATAGTAACCGATGGTTAAGATCTCTGAATGACATGGCTCAAAATCGTTTGTGTTCTCTCAAATTTTAATCTTCTGAATTCCTCATCACTTCTCGCTTTCTCTTTCTAAATTTATACCACCGAATTATACTTCTTGGATAATATCTTTGATCCCTAATCTTCCCTATTACTGCGAATACTTCTACTATCTCAACCACTATGTGATTTGAACTGACAGTTACATCTCTGTGTGTTAATGTGGTATGGCTACCCGAACTGATGTACTTGCGTTCAAAGTTCTACGTTGTAACTGATTGACTGACTGACTGTAACCAATTATCGGAAGTTTTATTTACTAGTTCGAATATGAAAGATGAAATAAAATCAGCTCTGTGAATTATTACTACCATGAGATAATAGATTGTTCTGTGAAATTTTAATTCAAAACAACCATTTCGATTTTAAAATTTTCACAAGATGAATTATTGAATGTCAAGTTAACAATGTTTTAGTTGAATGATTCATAAAAATTTTTCTCATTTACCTTAAACAATAATTGCAATGGATTTATAACTGTCAAATGAATGAATTTTTTTTTCTGATGAAATTCTGTTGGTAAAACAGCACATAATACGAAATAAAATGATGATGAGATGTTGATCAATAGTGCATCTTCTCGAAATCATGAGTTGATCCAATGTTAAATCACTATTAGAAACCTGGAAGCACTGAAACACGGCCGTTTTGTTCTGGTATGAGAATACTCATCAGGGGCAGTGGACATCCCGACTCCTATTACTCGCAGCAATCGAACCCAGGACCTTCGGTCGCGTAGTTTGAATAAATAATTTTAGTTAAACGATTTAGATTTTGATTGTGACGAGTTTTTCTTTCGCGTAGAAGTAGAGAATTTGAAAATCAGGAGATACGGCTTACAAAATAATCTCAAATTAAGTTGAATAACAAAAAAATGTTAGTCAGTATAAGCTTGTGGAGACTGTTCAGTTCCAATGAAATCATGAACTGATCAATTTTGGACTATCGTTGGGAACTTGAAAATACTGGACACCCATTTCGTCATAGTGAGGGACTTCTTCGAAGTGTACAAGCACACCACTACAAGCAGGAATAGAACCTTGGACCTTCGATCTAATGCTCATTGATACAAATTAGCGACTAGCTTCATGAGGAAATTCTCGGATTTATTACTGAAATGCCATGACCAGTGGAGTTGATATATTTCGTATATGAGGTAGTTACCTATCGATGACAATAGACGGTATTCGCACTATATCAGAGAATGATTGAAGTTGGACTTTAACATCAACGGATGCCGGCCTCATCGGTCAAAAGATTAAAAGTTTGAGCGCCAGGCCTAGTGTCCTAGATTCCATTCAGTGTAAATCGAAACCTGAGTTGTTTTCAGAATTTTTCTAGATAATTCGCAATCACAGGTCGACTAATGATTAATATTAAGATGAACCTTTTGACATTCTTATTAAAAGTAGTTATTACCAATGATCATGGATAACAACTTGAATAATGATTATCATTTACTTAAATGCTTACTCCTGAATGTTTTTCCCCTAACGGATCACAGGCCAAAGAGCAGAATTCTTCAACCTACTCAGTCCTCCTGGGTCTTCCCATCCAATTCTATCTAATTGCCACTCATTCTTTCCATATCCGCCTCCAACTGTCAGCATAGTGTGTTCTTTGGTCTATCTCTTTTCATTTGGCATTTAAGTATCTCAAGTAAGGGCATACCTTTGACTATATCATGAGTGAATCAGTAGTGCAACTATATATTTCTTAGACATGAGAAATTCTCAAGCTCCATCTCAGTCACAATTTTTTTTCCTCCAGTAAAATCTTCAGTTTTAAAATTAAAATTTATACGTTCTATTCCTAAACTACATCATGTACTACTACTAATACCATGTACTACATTTGCTTACAAATGCCTGCCTACACTTCAATGACTTACGTAATATCATAGTTTGTAAAAAGTCTTGCTTACAATAACTCTCATTTTCATCTGGTCCTAACAATCTATTGTTTGATTTTTTTCTACTTGTAAATTAGAAATGAACTCCAAACTTAATCGTCCTTCCTACGTACAAAAATCAGAGGATGTTTTCATTGAAAATGGTAAGAATTGATTGTTTTACTGGGTTTTGTTTTATCGAGATACCATTTGGTGTTTGAGATTTTGCATTACAGTATTTCAGAGATGTTAGTTGTACGTTGAAATCATGACTCGATCAATGTTAGGCAATTACCATTATAGAAATAAGTCAGGGAGCATTGAAAGCAGTCTGTTTCGTCCTGGTGTAGGAGGACTCATCAGTAGCAGTGCGCATTTTAACAAAGTTTCATATATTAATGATATGCTGTACACTATATTTGATTAGATCAAGTTCAGCCATGGGTGACCGTATGAATAAGCATAAATCAGAGATGTCTGACACTCGAATTCGAAAATCAATAATCCTTAGTGTAACGACAGTATGTGAACAGATCATCTGTTGAATTTTTATGAATGTTTCCAGCTAAAAATAACATGTAATGAGAATTTACTTATATTTTAAAGTATCTTTTGTTTATACTATAGATTGATTGAAGTTAGACATTAATAACGTTGGATGCTAGCTGAGTAATTAAGAAGTTAAGCATTTGGTCACGGAGCCGAAGAGCTTGGGTTTGATTCCTGTGTGCAGGGGTCACGGATGCACACTGGTGATAAGTCTCATATTTGGACAATATGGATGTCCAGTGCTTTCAGGCGCCTGATTGTAGTCGAACAGTGATCGATCTAGAACTTCATCCAAGACATATATATATATATATATATATATATATATATATATATATATATATATATATATATGCAGTTAAGTATTTGATTCTAAGCGTATGACCTAGATATTGTCTGGTTGACTTTCGGAACGAACACTAATGTGTAAGATGAATGAAATGAGTATAGTTTCCATTAGAGTTTAATGCTATTGTTGAATATAATATATGTTTGAATATTAGTTCGAGTTTCTCATGCATTATTCATTCAAAGAACTCACATGAAATCAAGTTTATGAGTATCAGATTTAAAAGTGAATATGTGATATGGCGCACAAATTAGTCAAAACAAGATGGCAGATATACTTGGAAAGGATACAATTTATTTAGAAAATATGTACACATAGTATTCACAGATTCATTTACAATACAGACAGCTTTCTGACTGTCATCTCTTACATCTCTTCAAGTCTTCAAAATACTCTGATCACATTATGCATACACTCTTCTGCTTAGTAGTAACATATCGGAGACTACTTAAATGCCACCTTGTGAGTAGTATTCTTTTAAAGTGATACATTTAAATCAAAGAATAGGAAGCTAATGATCGACTTTTACAAAATTGGGTAAATGCCGAGCGTTAAAGTATGGCAACTGAAAAAAAATAAACTGTAACAAAACAACTGACTTTCGTTTAATTAATTTTCAATAGTTAGCCGATCATAAACTGAATAACTCAATGCTGCTAACATTTCACACTGTTCAACAGGATGACATCGATTTAAGTCTAGTGATAAATATCCATTCACTGAACATTATTACTAACTTACTTACGCCTGTTACCCTCAACAGAGTATAGGCTGCCGGGCAGTATTCTCCAACCTACGCATCTCTGAGCCTCCCTCTCCACTTCTATCCAATTCTTGTTCATTCTTCACATGTCTGTCTCCATTTCTCAACGTAATGTGTTAGTTGGTCTTTCTCTTCTCCTTTGACCTTGAGGGTTCCAAGTGAGAGCTTGTCTTGCGACGTAGTTGGTTGCTTTCCTCAATGTGTATCATATCCACTTCCAGCACTTCTTTCTGATTTCTTCCTTCACTGGAATCTGGTTTGTTCTTTGCCACAGTTGGTTGTTTCTGATGGTGTCTAGCCAACGGACCCGAAGTATTTTACGTAGACAACTGTCAATAAACATTTGTATCTTGTATGTATGATGGCTTTTTCAGTTTTCACATTTGTATTGAAAATTGTGACTTTAGTGTTGGTTGAAAGTTGTTTTGATTTACAAATGTTGCTCAATTGTAAAAATGCTGTCCTTGCTTTTTCGATGATACACTCTTCATAAAAGGAATTTATTGGGTTGAATTTGCTGAGTCCACTTATTTTCTTTACGATATGATGATGTTGGCTTTTAAATGTTTTCCATGCTTAAACAAATCTTGTTTGACAGCCATTCATTTGAATTATCTATGGTTAATGTGTCTATGGTTTTAACAAGTTCGTTTTGTACGGGACATGGTTCACTTACCTACATGCTCAACCCTCCTCTATTTTCCAATCGTTTGGCACCAAAAGTAACCCTAGAAAGGCGCTAGGTGGAGTTTTCAAACACAAGTAGTTTGTTGATTACAAGTAAATTCAGCATTATGAGGTTGTGGAGATGTTACTGAGTTACATTATTGCAATGATGAATCAGTCAATCTGGAATTCCATGCAGTTCCGGTGTGAAACAGCATTAGACATTGGCTCAGTGGTCCTGAGCTTAAGCATCTGCGCGTACAAGATCGAATGTCCTGGGTTTGATTTCTCCAAAGTGTGAGAGTCGTAGGTGCACACTGACACTGATGAGTAATCCCATATTAGGACTATATGGCGATCGCTCAGTGATTCCAGGCTTGTTTCTAACGGTGGTTATCTAACGCTGATCGATTCATATGCATTTATGTATGTATGAATCGATATTATTGTCAGTCATCATCATATCTGTACTGAAACATTTTTGCAAACTCTAAAACCCAATGCAACTCTTGTCATATACAACATACGAAACAAATTCTATTGTCAAATAAATACTATCTAGTTTGAATGACAGGACACACACATACACACTCCAAATACTACTCACTATCTCTCATTTGTCATGTCACCTTGTGACCAGTAAATAACAGCTTCGTGTTTCTCGCTCTGTCTCTCTTCTTAACAATTGATTGATATGTGGGTTGGTTGAATGCTGTTACTCTCTCTCACTTTTTCTCTGTCTATTTGATTAGTTTTCAATTGTTACTGACATTTTCACATTTTTAAAATACAGAGCATTATTTAAAATGAATTATTAAAACGCAATTCTTATTCATAAAGAGGTTGATTAAGTAGCCGGTCATAATGTATTTGATTGTTAAAATATTCGTCAATCATGTCAGTGATCTGTTTTTGTTGTGATTTATTGATTGATTGGTTGATTGATCGAACGCTGGACCGGTGCCCAACGGTGTTTATCTCACACATCAATCAATAAAGGATATTGTGCAAATAATATCAATTGTCCTCAGTGGGTAGGTAATTGCCTTATATCTAAAATAGTTGAACTCTCTTGATCACAGCTTCTCACTAGAACTCTTTGAATTTACTCACGAAGCCAATAAATGATAATTGTCAGCATTGGATTGTTGAAACTTTTCGAGTTTCATTGAAATCATGAGCTTATTCATATTGCATCACTATCAGAAGATAGTCAACATCATACGGAATTCTTATGATGGATTCAACTGCAAAATCGTGCATGACAAACTCGTTTGAGGTGAAGACCAGTATCAGGCAAGGTTGCTTACTCTCACCCTTTCTCTTTCTCCTGGTGATCAAATGGATCATGAAGACGTCGACTCTGGAGGGAAGCGCGGTATCCAACGGACAGCTAGGACGCAGCTGGACAATCTGGACTTCTCAGATGACCTGGCTCTTCTATCGCACACGCAATAACAAATGCAAGAGAAGACGATCAGTGTGGCAGCAGCCTCTGCAGCAGCACGTCTCAACATACATAAAGGGAAAAGCAAGATTCTACAATACATCACAACATGCACCGACCAAATCACTCTTGATAGAGATTCTTTGGAGGACGTTAACACTTTTACACATCTGGACAGCATCATCGACGAGAAAGGTGGATCCGATGCAGATATGAGCGCGCGGATTGGCAAAGCAAGGGCTGCATTTCTACAGTTGAAAAATATCTGGAACTCCAAACAAATATCAATCAACACCGAAATCAGGATTTTCAATACAAATGTCAACACAGTTCCACTGTATGGAGCGGAAACTTGGTGAACTACGAAAGCCATCATCCAGAAGATACAAGTATTTATGAACAGTTGTCTTCGCGAAATGTTTCCGATTCATTGGCCAGACACTATCAGCAACAACTTACTGTGGGAGAGATCAAACCAGACTTCAAGGGAAGAGGAAATCAGGAAGAAGCGATGGAAGTGGATAGGACACACACTGCGAAATTCACTGAACTGCATCACAAGATAAGCCCTCACATGGAACCCTCAAAGTCAAAGTAAAAGAGGAAGGCGAAGGAACACATTAGGCCGAGAAATAGAGAAAGACATGAGAAGAATGAACAAAAACTGGAAAGGACTAGAAAGGGAAGGTCAGTACAGAGTTGGCTGGAGAAAACTGGTGGGTGGCCTATGCTCCATTCGGGGTAACAGGCGTAATTAAAGTAAGTAAGTAAGTAATCACTATTAGAAACTTCAAAGCATTCGACAGCCATTTTGTCCTAATACAGGACTCATCAGCATGATAACTTTTCGCTGAAATACAACATTCAGCCATTTGTATGCATTATGTAACCCTAACCATGATCAACTGTTTCTTCTGTTCTTGTAAAATTTCGTTTCAGCAATGAATACTGAATCATTTGTCACTTCCACGAAAAATAATAAATTCCATTCAAATAATAGTCAAAATTTTCATCACTGGTCAATGCACGATGATGATGAAAATGATGCATCAGCAGTAGCGCATAAATTTAAACCAATCTTATCGCCACCATTAAATAATAATAATCATAATCATAATTATAATAAAACAACTATTCCATTAATTGAAAAAATTGATCATTTAACATCATTGAACAAATTCAATGAATCTATTCAAACAAAATATAATGAAAATATCATAACAGAACAAAAATCTTTATGGAATAAAGCTAAACATTCATCATTTCAAGGAAATGATGCTAAATTCCCAATTGATCCAATCAAGCCTAATTATGAACGTACCATACATAGTACACCAAGCAGTCCAATTATGGAACGTAATATTATCATTAAACCAATTGTTGGCACCGGCGTCGGCAATGATGACAATGATCATGTTCTTCATAAAAATCATACTAAACCTAGTGGTTTACCACCACGTCCATTAAGATCACCAGTGATACGATTAAATGTTCGTTCCACTTCACCATTAATCCATAATCAAATTCGTGCACCCACATCGAAATTACAATCCACTACACAATTTACCAATGGTGAAACAACTACATCAACACGAATTGATCCAGCCACTGGAGAAATTCAACATGTCACATCGAGAACACGTTCATATACGGATTTAAGTCAAAATGCTTTAATTACTGAAATTGAAGAAAATATTCAAGGGGAAGGTGATACAGAAATTCGAGTGGTTAAACGTAAAACACGTAGAAGTAAGTTTGAAAATGAAATTATTATTATTATTATTATTATTAATATTAGTAGTATTGGTAGAAGTAGTATTTTTAAAAATTACCAGTTATAAGCGATTTTGCTTTGTTTCACATTGAAACCTCGAAAGTGAACATTTGGAAAGTGAAGTATCAACTTTATATGAGTAAGCTTTTCTATATACTACTGAAATCCTGAATCAATCGTTGTTAGACAACCACCATTAGAAACCTGAAATCACTCAATGGCAGCTGTTTTGTCCTGGTGTGGGACTCATAAATGGCAGTGAGCACCCACGACTCCTGCTACTCTCAGGAACCGAACCCGGTCTAGCACTTGCTGACGCTTGACTTCTTGACTACTGAGCCAGCATCCAACAGTGTTAATGTCCAACTCTGGTCAATCTAAGGTTTTGCACAACTGCACCCATTATCTTCGACAGTTACTGCCTACACTCGACCAGGTTAAACTCACGAATCTCGTCACTAGTGAGCGTGTTTGTATATATTGTTTCTTTCATGAGAATAATGACTTTAAAGTTGGTAAAAAATGAAAATATCAAAAGGATGTAAGAAATAACAAAATAACAGGTTATAAAACTGACACCAAATGTGAAGTAGACATTGAAACCATTGAATAATGTAATCAAACTACAGAATTTGGAAAATGTTGACCTTCATTTAAAACAATCAATTCATCAAATGTAAAATTGAACATGTTACATCGACACATCGATTCATTGTGGTGGTGTTCCGTTTTCTGAGCTGGAGATGTTTAAGTTGTGCAGATTTCATTGTTCTTCTGAACACAACATCATCATCAGCACAAACTTCAGATAGCAGAAGTAAAGTATTCGAATTTCGCCATGTTTGACATCGGTTCAAGATACTGTACCGTAAAATCCAATGAAATAACTCAGTCAAATACCAATGTGGTGTACATTGTAACAGGATTATTCATAATTTTAATAATAAAGAATATGAGGAACCACGTAAGGTATCACTGACAACATACAAGTGTTTATTAACAGTTGTCTATGCAATATACTCCACACTTGTCGGTCGGAAACCATCAGCAACATCCTGTTGTGACAAAGAACAAACCAGATTCCAGCTAAGGAGCGAATCAGCAGATAGAGGTGGAAAGTACTGAACTGTATCGTGAAGCAAACCCTAACTTGGAAACGTCAAGTAGATCGAGGAATACACTGCCTCCACAATAGGAGACAGACATGAAAAGAATGAATAGCTTTTCAAGTAATGTTAAGGATGGTAACTTATCAGTATACTGTGGATTTTGTGTGCATACCGCATACTAGTTGCCTTGATATAGTCAATATGATACAAGCATTTACTAAGTCGATGAAGATATTGGCCAGCAGTAGAACCCAAGATGCACGTTTCACCCTGTTTTTGAGACTACCTCCATCTGCACATACCTGGTACATGTCAAGACTAATGTTCTCTTTGAGAATTGAACTCAACACGTTTTCAAAAGAAAACGTTATCACGATTCCAAATGAGCTATTGACACCAAATATTTATTGTCTTGTACAATGAGGTGAAGTTGAATTCATTTCTATTAGGTTGCTTGAATCTTCTCATTGATAGTTAGGATTAGCAAGTGATCAGTTTTACTTGATGTATATGCATCCTGTACGGATTACCTCGATATTCAATCGGTCAGTCAGTTACAACATAGAACTTCCTACGTAAGTACATGGGTTAAAGTCATCATAGCCTCTTAGCACAGAGACGCAACTGTCAATCAAAATCTCATAGTCAGAGATAGTAGAAGTATTAGCGGTAATCAAAAAATAAGGGTTCGAAGATATTATTCAAGATGTATAATTCAGTGAAATAAATTTAGAAAGAAAAAGATAGAGGTGAGGACGAATTCAGAAGATTAGAATTTCATAGAACACAAAGAGTGGATGTGCCTGCGCCATCGCAACCGGTTTTAAGCCATGTCGTTCAAGGTATCTAACTATCGGTTACTGTCGTCCAGTGGACCCCAATCAAGTAGTCGACATCTACCAACATGACTCAATCCACTTGCCAGTGACTTCACATATTTGTACCATGTTTCGGTCTGGTCACCCCTACCTTTCTTTCACGCTATATGTCTACATCGGACAACATCGCTTGTCGGAGTAGTCGGCGGTTGGGAATTTGTAACACATGTCCCAACGACCTTGACTAATGAAGTTTCACTACTTCATCAAATGATCTACCATCCCTACCTAGTAATCGTTTCCTAACTATAGCATTGCTTATTCGGTTGTCGCTGGATATACGTGCAACGCTTCAATGACATCTATAATCGAATACCAATCACCTACAAGTATCCTCAACTCTTACCGGCCATGTTTCACAAGACAAAACAAACTGCTAAACAGTAATGAATCGATTGTTTTATTATGACACTAAAACATCGCTCATTCTTAATGATTTTATTCATGTACCAGTGTGTGTGTGTATTCGGTGTCAATTATGAATGTTATACGTTAATTTTATAGTATCATTGACAGGTGGAACCAATTGATTTTTCACATGAGTACAGTGTGTTCGAAACTCTTAACATTACCACAAAAGACTTCAAATAATTTATATCATTATTATTCTCACTGAATTTACTGGTTTTCTTTTCATTTTCTATACAACATTTTTCTGTTTTGAAATAATTTTAGTCAGACCGAACACGGTTAGAGAATCACGAAGTATGGATAGTTCAGGATGTGAGTTTGACTATGTTTGTTTACTGACAATGTTGTTGGTCGTTTCGTTTCGTTTCGTTTTTAATTTCAAAACATTTTTATTATCATGTCATCAATCTTGTAGTTGAACAGAACAAACAAAGTAATCAGTGATTTTTACCGAGTTTTGTTAAACTAACCATGGAAATTGTTCACCTGGTCGTCAGCTTATTATTTCAATAGAGTTAAATAAAGCGGCGACCTTGTCATTCAAGGTAATAACTATTGAGATGGTGGAGAAAATTTGTAGCTTAGATGTGAATGACTATAGTCGAGGTTTGTTCTGTGAGCTGGATGTTTTGATTGTGGAGCTGTTTGTCTGTCGATTGCTGATTTTGACTTGAGTGTGCCAAGCTTCTAAAATGTCTCTTATCTTCTTTGTATTCCGATACCTTTTTTCAGTCGTACGTATGTCTACAGTTGGTTGTATGCATTGATCTAAGGCAAGAAATGGTATATCGTTCGACAGGTGAATATTCCTGTTGATAAACATGTAAATCGTCGGGAGTTTCATCCAGTCACTCATCATAGTCACTTTATTTTCTCCTAAGATTTGAGAACATTTGGCCTGTTACCATAACAATGAGTTACATGGTTTAATTTACAAACAAAAAATTCTTCAACTTTACATTCATTATTTAGCCTCTGTGTTCAATGTACAATCTCACATGATGCATGCAATTAATCATACTCTTTAAGTATAATATTAGAATTGTGAAGATTGTCGTGTGTCGTTTGAAATCATGTATTGATCACTGTGTTAGACCACCACTATTAAGAAGAAATATGGAAACACTGAAAGACGGCCATTTTGTCCTAGTATAAGACTCATCAGGGGGCAGTACGCACCGTCGAGATCCGTTGATCCCGGGAATCGAACCCAGGGCATTGATTCAAGTATCTTTCAAAAACAAACCATCTAGTCTATTAGTTTATAAGTTGATGTATGCGTAAATCATAAGTGAATTTAAATGCACAAATCAAATATTATTTTGACGATTTCACAGTTTTGAAAGACGCAAGAATGAGTCAATGTACAGAACAAACACAAACTGAGCAAAGTAAGTAAGAAATAAAAGATAAAATCGATAATAATAATTTGATTAGTTGTGTAAAAATTCACTTGTTTAACTAGCTCCTCATCATTCAAACTAGATCTATCTCTCGGCATTACAGTACTGTGGAGATGATGGTTTTTGACCTTTAATTCATGAATGAATCATTGTTTGAATACAATCAGAAGAAACCTGGAAACACTGGATGGACGTTTCGTTTTGATATGGAACTCATTAGCAGTGCGTATCTAGAGGTTAGGCGTTTTCGTACCAGATCGAATGAAGGTTTTCGGTTCGAATCCTGCGTGTAGCGGGAGTCGTGGATGTGCACTGCTACTGATGAGTCCCATACCAGAACAAGACAGTCATTCAATGCTGCAAGATTTCTAATGATGGGTCTAACTATACATTCATGACTTCAAGATACAATTAAAATCATGTCAAAATCTATCGACTGTCATTTTAATAAAAATGTTTATTGAGAAAAGAAGAATGATTTTTACTAAAACTACATTTTTTTTATGAAATGTTTACATTTCTTTATTTCCAAAATTACCACTATTCCACAGTTCAACGTGATTCAAGGATGCATCAACGTACAGAAGAAATAAAAAGTGAAAAACGTAAGTTTATTTAACAAATAATGATGTACTAACATAGTTTTTATTTAAACCATGACTCAATCATTGTTAATAACACCATTAAAAACCTGGAACCACTGAATGGCGGCCGTTCCATCCTGATATAACAATCACCAGTGGCGCAGTGAGCATCTACGACTCCTGCCATTAGCAGGATTCGAACTCAGGACCTTAGGTCTCGCACACAAAAGCCTAAATTCTTGAAGACTAAGCCGGCAATCAACGATATAGATCAGTTTCAGATATTGTGTAACCCATTGTCTACAGTAGTTACTGCCTACACCCGACAAGGTTGAACTCCATTGGTCGCATCTTCTCATTCGAAATAGTAGAAATTTTCGCGTTAAGTTAGTCACTAATGAGCACATAGTGAATGAATATAAAATATTTTTATATTTTTACTGATTGTCTACAAAAGTATCGATGGTTGGGGACGTTAGATCCCCCAGAATGCACTTGATAAAGGTCCTCATTTCGGACTTTATGTTTTCGAGCATGGGCTGATTATCTGACCCTGAGATTAAGTTTCCCACTCGGAAAATCCCTGACTGTCATTGTTTGATGTGTTATGTTAGTCTGCTATTTTCGTGGCTCTCTCTCTCGCGTTTCGATCATATATAAATAAACTCGATTTGTGTGCTTGTTTAACATCATATTTTCTGTGTGCTTGTAGAATACACTTTCTACAGCATGTGAAGACTTCTTTCTCTACTTAGTGGGGCTTTGGGATGCTCGAATTAGAGTAGCCTATCATGTCACTGAATCATCTTGTCTTGGCTCTCGTTTACCGACTGTGAACTCGTAACAGTTTCAAGTATAACATCAATAGGTTTCAATAACTGACTTGTGTTTTTTGAATTACTGAACTGGATCAACATTCAAACAAGGATTATTAAAAACTAATAAACACTAGTTGATTTCTTTCATTCTAACAAAACCCCCAAAATGTATCACTACAACCCTAATTACATCATCATGACATAAATAAGGTAACTTCATTCTCCGCTTTTTATCATAACTCAACTTCATATCATGATGCCTAAAACATTTATCAAAATCAAAACAAGAGAGTAGTGCAGTTTCACAGACTATCATAAGATATTATATAAAGCACAGAGTTATAAGGATCAAGCTCAACTTAATGCTTGAAGGTTATGCCTGAAGATTAACGAGTTAACACTAATCAATAATATCGATTTTTTGGTTTGTTTTGGTGATTCGCATTCAGAAAGAAAAATTAGTTACTGTTTCCACAATTAAGGTTACGAACAGTTCACTGATTGATTGTCAGACTAAAACCCAGCTTCATTAATTTCGACTCGAGTAACCGATCAATGCCGTTACTCATAACCTGAATAGCTCCAGAGTGATACACTTTAATTGTAACACTTAGTTATATGATTTCAAATATTACAACGAAAAAACAAATCACTTCAAAAGACTACAATGACATCTTCCCGTTAATTGGCAATGAAACAATAATCGAAACTCTGAAGTGTCAATAAACATTCAAATGTTCATACCTACTCAATGATTTTTACAAAAATTACTGAAAATATTTACATCATCTTGTGAAAGTTTCACGTCAATTGAATTGATTTATTTTTTTAAATTCTAGATTTTGAAGAAGAATTAGGTTATCAACGTTCTTCAATGAAAGGTACACTTCTTTACTTAGTTAGCCTATTTTTATTTCCTGTAAATACTTTCTTTGTTCAATGAAGGTTTTGATTTTAACAAAAATTATCCTATCCACTTATGATGTCAATAATTCAGTTTTTATTTATAGAGAACAAATTTCAGAGCAGAAGTTATAGATAGATGATTGTGCTAGATGAAGTTTGTTTTATACACAACTCGATCATGTAATTTCATTTGTTTGATGAAAAATTATGTTGAAGAACAAGGTGATATTATGTGTTAACCCAGTGTAACGTATATATATATATATATATAAATATATATATATATATATATATATATATAACTGATCTACATTGTTGATCGCCGGTTCAGTCTTCTAGAGTTTAGACTTTTGAATGCGAGACCGAAGGTCCTGAGTTTGAATCCTGCTAGTGGCAGGAGTGGTAGATGCGCGTTGTCACTGATGAGTACCATATTTAATCTTCAAATATCCATTGGTAATACAGAGAGGTTATTGACTAATTTCTCTGAAATATTGAGTCTGGTTTTCAAAATACTCTCATCACTCTATACAGTTTGCTCTTGTAGACACTGTATTTCTTTGTAGTCATTTCTAGGCAACGCTCCACAGTGTCTCCTGACTACCCTAATTAACAACGCAAGCCCCGTCGAAAAGCAAAATGTTGCTTCATGGTTGTCTTGTGTCGGCACCTAAACTAGTGATAGGGAGTGGAGCGGTTAAGCATGTTGACTGCTCCATTCATCTCTGGAGTCTCATCCGCGCTGATGTACTGGTGAATGACAAAAACTCAACAAGGATAAAGAAGGTTCCACTGACTTTCGCCAACTTGCGTCACTTATGACGTAGGCGAGATATCCTCTTGATAACCAAAGAAAGAGTCCACTGCACAACAGTTTGCTCTGTCATACTTTATGGCTGTGAAACATGGCCAAAAAAAGTTGAAGATATTCGCAGATTATTGGTAATCGATCACACATATCTTTGAAGAATTGCTCGTGTATCCTGAGACAACCGAGTAAGCGAGGCTGTTGTTACGAAACGTATACTAGGTAGAGCTGGCAGATCAATAGATGAACTAGTGAATATTCATCAGTTGAAATGGTTAAGACATGTGTTACGAATGCCCAACCGCGGACTACTCTGATGAGCAATGTTGTCTGATGTAGACGCAGGCTACCAGGTTGGGGTTCACGATACGAAAGTAACTGATGATTAGAGACTTTGAATGATATAGCTGAAAATCGTTTGCAATGGCGTGGATACATCCACTCTTCTCTCAAATTGTAATCCCATAAATTCGTCATCACCTTTATCTTTCTCATCTCAAATTTATTGCTCTGAATTATACTTATTGAATAATATCTCCAAACCCCAATCTTTTCGATTACCGCTAATATTTCTACTGTTTCTATCAGTAACTGATAGATATAGATAAGTACGAAATTCTACTTTGTAAATGACTGACTGACTGTTAAACCTACACAATGAATATTTTCAGAGTGAAATGCAGTTTTATGAAAAGTTTCCTCAATGAAAACTTTCATAAAATTTGTTAAAATTGAGAAAACATTTCGTGTTAATTATTCCATTATGTAAGAGTGACTCGCTCAACAACCTCGTGAAAAGTTCTAGAATCAATTTCTAGTCAAACTATAAGGATACATTTCTACAGACTCTGTTTCATACTAGGCTAGTACAAATATCCACTGCTCTTTAGTTATCTTATTGGTTATCTGTGAAGTTGTATAACAGATCAAAACTAGCACTGTAATCCCAACTATCCGTGGTTAGATTTGAATTATCAATAAGATAAATCAATTGCGACTGTTTATTAATTTTCGAGATGATGGAGAAATTTTGGTAGGTTCAGTTGGGGATAATTTAGTGGAGTTTCGTTCACTGATCTGGGGATATCTGCGTTGTAGAGCTTTCATCATTGTACTTCTTCTGAACACCAACAACATTATCATCAGTACAAACTTCAGTTAGATAAAAGTGAAATATACTTCACTGTGTTGATGATGTTGATCGGAAGTTGTAGTGCCTCCATATATATTCCAGTTCGCTTACATTTAATTTGGTTAAATCCTTTTGATTAATTTATTTAACCAAGCTATTTTTATAACAATAACTTATATGTACCATTGGCTTTTATTATTGTGTGGTTTGTATGAGCTTGTACGACTGAGCATTGCTTACGCCAACGCTCTGACTCATCCTTTTCGCTTTAATGTTAATCTCTTAATACCCCTATGAACTCAGATGACTTGCCTCGCTTGCTTTTGACCTTGTCAGTCAGAACGGAAACGTGGAGCAGTTAAAGCGCCTGATATCTTCAAGGACACACACTGAAACAAAATGTACAACAATTTCATAGTGAATGTACAGGCTGTGCAAATTAACAGAATAAATACAAATAGTATCAAAAACTATTTACAAAATAAGTTTGTCATGCCATCTCCACAAAGTAAACAGCGATAAAAGCTCCACAACCAAAATGTTGGGAACGTTGGAAAAAATTCCTAATTTTGTAGTTTTATTCTAAAAGACGTTCAGTTGACCTACAGCTCACATTTCCTTGACTGTCATTGGTTAATGGATTGGTTCAGTATGCTATTCTGCGGCTCACACCAAGAGCGTCTTATAAACTGTATAAATAAGCTTGAATTGTGTGTCTAGCAATCTCAACCTTTCTAAGTGCCTGTAGAATACATTCTCTACTCCTTCTTCCTCGAGTTTGCAGGACCCAGGGACAAATGGATTAGAATTAGCCTATCATGTCACTGCATCGTTGATCATCGTTTCGTTTACCGAGTACGATGAACTCGTAAAATATCAATCATTCAAGCCTATCAATTGGTGAACATATCGCAAAACATCCAGCTGAGAGAATGATTAAGTTTTCGTTTTGAACTATTTTTCTAGAGCTACAGTAATAATCAGTTTATGACTACCACTATTATTATTATTTGTATTATTATTATTATTATTATTATTACTATAATTGATCATATTTTTCTTGCAGTTTCAGTCAGTGTTTATCTTGAATTCTGATATAACACTTGTGATGTTCGATAGAAATTTTTCCTTGTTCGATTTATCTATTGTAATGCATGTATACAGTACTTTGGTTTTTTTTACCATGTGACTGATAATGCACTGGCTATCTTGATGCTTGACATTTGCTTGCATTGCATCACTCTGCATTATACAATTCACATGATGAATGGAATGATTTTACGCTTGTAGTCATTTGTTTTTTTCAAAGGGTTTTAGTGAATCCTACTGTCGGTTGATTCTGTGAACGTTGTCGGAATTCTGTGTGTACCGTCGTAACCCATAGTTGAGAGTGATGATTACGTGATAAATAACTGTAACGTAGGTACTGCTTATCTGTATTTAACTTGGCAAAGTGTAATCGTTTTTTTGTTGTTAGAAACCGTATGCAAATCAAAGGCCCCAATGTGCAGTATAGCCTTGTTTTTGATTTCACAATCACATGTGTTTTACATAACCTTGAAACATGATCAAAGTTTCAATGATTCACGACCGACACATAGATTTTAAATTAAAAAATTCTCTGGTATTTCGTCAGTAAACATTTGTAATTTTTGAAACTAAATTATGTAAATGAGTTTCTTGCGTAGAAAACCAGTTAATTTAACATCCATAAAGCTATAATAAAAGTCATGATATGCTGACTAGTGACTAGCTTCTTGCGGAATTTCTCACAGTTCTCTAGTTAAAAGCTGTGATCGGTGGAATTCTATCGTATGGAGTGTGAGTCGATTGCCCACCAAAGACGACAATGAATGAGGTCTCGCGATATCATGGATTGACTGAAATTAAACATCACGATTGTTGGGTGCCGGTCCAGTGGTCAGGTGTTCATGAGTTAGACCAAAGGTTTTGGGTTTCATTCTCACTTGTGCCGGGATTGTGGATGTACACTGCCGAGACGAAACAGTCATTCAGTACTTCTAGGTTTCTAATGGTAGTTTAGCTTATTAAACCAATTCGTAATTTCAACCAAAGTATACATGAATGAACAACCCTTTCGTTCATGCATATAACATCTAGTCTTACAATTAATGTAGGCATTAAATTGATAAGTCGGCATCCACTGGTGTTCATGTTTCCTCATAACCGTCACGTTTTAACTCCACTGATTACAGCTTCGCATCAGAACTCCAACAATTTCCACACACATATCCAATCACTCGTAATCACATGTCAGTAGACGGTTATAGGAACATTTTGAGTTTCATAGAAATTATTACAATCATGGATTGTGTACTACTGATGAGTTTGATACTACAACTTGATTTCATAGTGAACTCTTAACAAAATGTGCTTCCTTTCAAATGAATTTCATCCGTTATCATCAGAATCTCAGTAAAGTTTAAGCGAACAATCTATGACATCTCAACTGTACTATGATGATGACGATGTTGATAAGCCTAAAATAATGCTTATTCTAATAGAGTTTTCTTTTTTTAAAAAAGCTGAAATTTATTCAACAATAAAACTAAATCCAAGACAATCATTAAGTTCTTTAAAGCTCTATTAAGATATTTATGGAAATCGAGCAACAACAAAATTAACCCTTAAAAAGAAAGACATACAATGAAAAATTTGGCAAACCCAGTCAAATTCCATCATTCTAATAATTTTTAAAACATAAAATAAAATAATTTTAATGTATATATTTATATATATGTGTACAAAAATAAAAATGAAGTGAACATTGATTGAAATATTATTTCAAATAATTTTAAAAGTACCGCTTGAAAAAAAACGCAACATTTCAATGTTCAAGTATTATTTATTTTTTTTCAATGTTCAATAATGAGTTATTTGTACAACAGAATCACCCGTAATCATGTCACGGGATTTTTTTTGTTATTTTCAGTAAATACTTCTTTTGCCAATAAATTAATTTAATTTGAAATGCTCAAGTGATCTATCTATCTATCTGTTGTACACATGATTTACAAAAATTTTTTTATTACGTTTGTGAATAGTTTATTTTTTCTGTTTAAACTATTTTTATAACTCGTAATTTTTATTTTGTTAAAAAATGAAAACTGAGAATTCAGCAATTCAAAGATAACATACATAGTGGATGAATGAAAAAAATTCATTGTTCACTTGCCTACACTGCTTCTCTCCTACATTGTACACTTTTGTTTCGGAGCTGTGTTATCATTCGCGACGACGACACAGAACACAATTCGATAAAGGGATAGACAGATAGAGACAAAGAGAGAGGCAGTAAGAACAAACAACATATTCCGTAGAATTCGTTTCAAAAAAAAAATAATTTGACTCATTCACATTTTTGATAATCTGTTTGTTATCATGCAAACTACAAAAAAGATCAAAGCACACGAATGCCGATGTTTGTTCTTAATTGAAAGCATAAAAACCGTGTAGAACATTTCTACCATTGATGACAAAAAAAATTAGAAACGACTTACCATGATTTGATTGCATTCTCATTAAAGCCTGACTAATACATCATTTTCATTGCTGTCTATATCAAATGATGAAGAAATGAGAAATTTTTGGAAAATTGAATAAAACAAAATTTTTTCGAATTGAACAGAAGCATTCAATTAAAACAAAATAAAATAATCATAACCTGTGAGATATTGCTCAGGTAGATGATGATTGTGGTGGTGTTTCGTTCTTTGAGTTGGATGTTGTTTTGGTTGTGAAGCTTTGATTGTTCTTCGTCTGAACAACAAACATCATCAGTACAAACTTCTATCCGAAGCTCCTCTAATCAAAACATCCAGCTCAAAGAACGAAACACCACCAAAATCATAGCTGTTTGGTTCGCTGAGGTCTTTAAAAAATCTGTCTAGTTATTCTATACTAGTTACATTGTGTTATTCAAGTTCACAAAGACTAAGGAAAATGAATTTTATGTTAAATTATGGTTTGTTATTTAGAATAACAAAAATTTAACATTGTACTACTTTAAATCATACTTTAGTAGTATGCTAATATTGTTGTTTACTATTTCGTCAATTAGTGCAACCACAGAGAACATCAAGTCAAATGAATATCAGTGGACCGAGTACAATCAATAAAACAGCATGGTTGTCAGGTTTGTAGAAACTTTTCTTATTTCAATCGAATCCATTTCTCTTGACTGTTTATATATATGATCATTATATTGAAATCATGAGTTAATTAATGTCAAATAAAAACTTGGAAGCAATGAATAACAGCCATTTTGTTCTGGTATGGGACTCATCAATGGCACTGAGCATCCACGACTCCTGCTACTCGCAGGATTCAAACGCAGAACTTTCGGAATTGTAATCGAACGCCGGCATCTATAGGCGTTATTGTGTAATTTCAATAATTCCACGGTCTTGCGCAACTTCATCAACTTTCTTAAGTGAGCACTGCTTCACATCTAAATAGGGTTGATCTCCACTGAGCATGACTTCTCACTAGAACTCGGAGAAACTTCCTCACAGATCTAGTCACTAGTGAGCATATAATTAAAATAAAGTAACACAACAATCACCACAATCCTATCATACAATTATCAAAGTTTTCACTAAGATTTCATGAGAATTACGATATGATTTTAGTTAGAACTCTATCACTGTTGAAATTTTTGGAAGTTCTGGTTCGTTGTTTTGTCCGAGTATATGGTACAAGTCAGAAGTGCACTGATGCACAAACCTAAACATGATAATCGAACCAAGGACCTTTGGTCTGGCGTACAAACGCCTAACTTCATGTTCACTGAGTCAGCATTGAACAGTGCTAATATCCAACCGTAATCAGCTCATGATATTGCGCATCCATCTTTCATTGCCTTCAATGAGTACCTACCTGCCTCACAGTGAACACAGTTAAGTTCAACCAATCAACAGTACAATAAGCCTTCTCTTATAAACTTTAAAAGATCAGAGGCAATTTAGAGTTAACCAGAAAATTATGTTCTATGATTTGAGATTGATGATTGGAATTTTCTAACTTCTGCATTTATTGGAATACAATGGCATTAACTGCTACCTGAAAATATCTATGTACATGTTCCATAGTCCTTGATTGTATGGTTTGAATGCTCACATAAACATTTGAGATATGAACATTAAAAGATGTGTGCTGTTACGGGAATGAGAGCGAATGTTACATCCCGGCTGCCCACACCATGAAAGAGTGTTTTTTGAAGAATTTGAAAAGGAAATAGAATTAGCGTTGGCCTGCGCAACCTGGCAGCGTGACTACAGAGTTCAAAGGACGATTGATTTAGGCCGGTCACACACAGCTTTTTATGTGAATTCTGTATTGTTAGTTTCGTTCTTCAAACAGCCTTACCGCGGGAGATGCAAATCCGTGAAGGTGAGGTGAGGTGTGACATTTTTAGCGTTGACCATTTGAAACCCCTTGCTTCCATCGTAAGAAGACAGTATCGCTTCCGATACTGGTTGTCCGACCAAAACACTACTGTGGTAACACCACTCTGCAGTCAGCAGTACAACTTCACCCTCAGACCTTGAGTAGCTGCTTCTAGTCTTACCATTCTTCAATCGACCTGCCTGGGATGGTAGAACCTACAGGAAAATATGTTCCAGCCAATCAAATTAATCTCCTTGTTAGATATAACTGATATATCGTCCATGAACTTCATATACAGAGTTACTTCTCTTAACAGCTCACTTGTCACATATATTCAACATGTGGTATATGTATATCCCCGAAGAGATGTGTATTAGCGCATTACCAAAGGACATTGGTATACTGTTCATAAATTTATATTAGTACACGCTGCAAAAGTTAAATTAATCGACAGTTCTGGACTCGAAGGCATTTATTGAATATTGAAAATGTTGTGGACAATTTCAGACAGAAAACAATACAGAGGTTTTTCAAAAATCTGCACCAACCAAAACACTCTTGATGGAGATGCCTTGGAGGACCTCGAAACCTTTACATATCTGGGCAGCAAAAATGACAATCAAGGTGGATCCTATGAAGATGCAAAGGCGCAGATCGGCAGAGCAAGGAGAGCATTTTTACAACTGAAGAACATCTGTAACTCCAAACAACTACCAATCAATACCAAAATCAGGATTTTCGATAAAAATGTCAAGACAATTCTACTGTATGGAGTGGAAACTTGGAGACCTGCAAAAACCGTCATCCAAAATATACAAGTGTTTATCAACAGTTGTCTACGCAAAATACTTCAGATTCGTTGGCCAGACACCATCAGCAACAATATACTGTGGGAGAGAACAAATCAAATTCCAGTAGAGGAGGAAATCAGAAAAAAGCGGTGGAAGTGGATAGAACACACATTGAGGAAAGCATCCAACTGCGTCACAAGACAAGCCTTCACCTCGAACCCATAAGGTCAAAGGAAAAAAGGAAGGCCAAGAAACACATTACGCCGAGAAATAGAGAAAGACATGAGAAGAATGAACAAAAACTTGAAAGGACTAGAAAGGGAAAGTCAGGACAAAGTTGGTTGGAGAAAAATGGTGCGTGGCCTATGCTCCATTTAGGGTAACAGGCGTAAGTAAGTAAGTAGGTAAGTAAGTTTTTCATAAAACGTTTTTCTTTGAAAATCGATGACATTTCTATATAACAATGACAATTAATTTAATAAGTATTAATTTTTTCTCTGATATACTGTCTTTTTATTGATAAATATTTTCAGCAAGCATCCAATAGACAATTACACGATAGCAGATCAATTGGTAGTCGAGCTGTACTCGAAGAAATGGAAACAATCACATTACAACCAATCGGTCGTGGTGTACATGATCTGGAACCGCCAACTGGTTCCATAGCCAGATCAGTTCGTGCTAATACACCAAGTGGTTAGTTAGTGTGTTGAATTTCCTTCTCTCCATCTCTCTCTATATATATGTATACACCCTTTTGAATATAAGATGTTTCTGAAAACATTTCACCTGCTTACCAGTGATGGGACTATTTTACTTTCATAATTGTATAATACATGCATGAATTTAGACAAATTACTAGTAACAATACTGTAAGAGGTGTTCATATGACCTTAATTTTTAATAGCCAATTATACTATGTGTAAGTCTGTTGTTGGACATTTCCTAACAGAAAAGGTCTGATGGTCGTCTTCTGTTAGAAATAGCTTGTATGTGATCCAACTTGACGATCAGGGAATGAAATACCTAAATGCCTTAGTGGTTAACATGTCTGACTGTGAAGTTGAGCTAGGCGCAATTGATTCCTCAACCGTTGGATTCTTCACGTTTACAAGTGTACTCATGGTACAGAGTATTTCTACTCTGCATTTTATTATTAGGTATGAATGTGTGGAATAAAATTTACATATCAGTATGATCGGTAGGCAAGTTTTGGAGTTCGGTTTTTTTTCGCATTGTAGAATCTGTTTAGAAAAATCACACCTTATATGATCATACAGTTGATTTTTGCTTTACAAATTGTCAGAATAATAAATATTTCCTTATTCGTACATTGAATTTAGTACCCAACCGCCAGTTTGTATTTCATGGTTATCCACTCACCTTTAGTCGCATTAATCTATTCATATGTATGGCAAGTGTTAGATGGTACTTATCTTTCAAATTCATCGAAAAGACACATTGATACCAGCGGCACCAGCTTGATGCAATCAGTACTGAAGAAATGACAGCTTTCTGGATGATTATTTTTCAAAAAATGTACACAGTTTTAAGGTTTTATTTCTGTTAGGATATTCATCAAATATCCTAAGAGAATTATTTTTGTAAGTCTAATTCTATTGGTTAATTCTTACTGGTCAATAATTATGGCGTCCTAACTATCAATGTCACGTACTCCAATGTTGTTTCCCATTGGTCGTCCTGACTGTCAATGTCACTTCAAATGTTGTTTCGTATTGGTCGACTAAACTGTCAATGTACCAGACTCCAATTTATAAATACGCATTATCTGTAACTTTTTATGATCCGGACCCGGATCCCTAGTCCGGGATCCTGATTCTCTTCTGGACTCAGACATCATACTTTCTGGATGTTTGTAGAATACATATTCTACTTCATATCAAGTCTCCTTCTTTTACTCAATGAGGAGCTTGAGACACTTGGACTAGAGCAGCATGTTGTGTCGCCCAGTCCTCTACTATTGTGCAATTTAAATTGACAATTCCATTTCTGTCTGTGTGCTAATTGTGATATGGCAACTTGAACTGATGTACATACATACCAGGTTCTAAGTTGTAATCTGACTGTATTACTTATAATCAAATTAGTAGACTTGATTTTACACAATTAAAACTTGCCAATTAAATAGGATAAAACTTAGTGATATTTCTGAAAGAAAATTATGCCTTGAATACTTTGTTCCATATAAACTCTGAAGGAAACATCTAATAATGAACTTATTTTGTATTTTTAGCATCTTATCTCAAAAAATTTCCGTATTTCCATAGTCATCCAATCTCCTATCTACACTCTTATCTTTATGCATACAAATTAACTTTCATAGTTCACCTTTCATGATCCTACAATCGATCATAGCGTTAAAATATCAAGGATTTGGAAAGTCTAGGAAATGGTTTTAATTTTGGCATGTTAAAATCTTTAGAACAGATAAATCTTACAATGAGCTAATTATGCAATCATGAATCAGTGTTAGATAATCACTATTAGAAACCTGGACGCACTGAAAGACGGACGGGACGTTTTTTTCCTGGTATGGAACTCACCAGTGGCAGTGCGCATCCATGACTCCCGCTACTCGCTGGAATTGAACGCAGGATCTTCAGCCTTGAACGCAAACGCTTAACAACTGGACCATTGAACTAGCATCCAACGATGATAATATATAACTTCGATCAATTTTACAGTCTTGCGCAACCTCCAAAACCTTATAATGAAAATTATCATGTGTTCACAGGTGACTAGCTCCGTGAGGAAGATTTTCCGAAGTCTATTGAGAAATCAAGATCAATGGAGGGAGTTCAATGTTGTTTTCGGATTTGAAGTAGTGCTCGTTGAAGACAGTGGATACCAACTCAGCGGTTCATATGTTGAACGTTTGCTGACAAAACCAAAAGTCCTGTGTTCGATTGCTGTGACTAACGGCAGTCTTGGCTGTGCACTGCTTATGAGTCTCATTTCATTGCTTGCAGCTTTCTAATGGTGATTGATTCTGACATTGATCGATTCATGATTTCAAAAAAATGTAACTCAATCATCTCCACAACCCTACAGTGAAACTGATCTAGGTACAAATATTTCATATGAGTGATTATTAGTCAATTATTATTAATTAACAAACAAATAAAAGAAAACAGAGCATATTCAATCATTTTTTGTCAACATCTTATCATCAATCATCAATTTCTAGGTTTACTTACAGTTCCAACAATGTTGAATCGACCACATTCATCAGCTGGACGAATAGATTTGGCCATGCTGCCTAGAACAAAACGATCTCTTAGTAAAGATTATTTCTATAGTCCAATACGTATGCAACGCAGCACTATTGACATACCATACAGTCAAACTACACAAGCTTTAATAAGTCCAGCAATCAATAGACGATTAGTTGGTTTCACTCAAACCACTGGTCATTCTTCACGAATTTCAAGCATCAATAAAAATCCACTGCCACCTACTGTAGCCCAACATGATCAATTCATGTATGGTAGTCCTGTGAATCCGAAATGGCATCCTATGCATTATAATCGATCATCTGGACTGTTTCATCAACAGACACCGATGAATAGAAATTCCTATGCTCGACAAACACTTACTCAAAATATACAAGAAATCACACAGAAACAACGATTTCTACCAGTTGATCAACAATGTTACGCAACACTGAATAGACCTATGGAGCTAGGTAAATCGAGCGAAAAATCGATCGGGAAAAAAGGAAACTATCTTATTCAGGTTTTTATGCATCTAACAATGCGCTTCTTACAACAACAAAAAAATCCTAGCAAACATATCTAACTGTCAAACTAATCAATATATATATATACATATACATCACTTGAGAGCAAATCAAAACCATGCTGTCATTTTTTAAAAAATTTATTGACACACTAATCACATAGCTAGCTGACTTGAACCATAATCGTCATTTTAAATGAGTTTTGTGCATCGGTTGTTTAAGTGTTTTTCTAAAGGTGCTTTTATGTGGTATTCGGTTTCTTTTCTGGATTTTTTTATTAGATCATAACGAAGATGATCGTTTTTATTTTGAAATTATGAATAAATCATTGTGTAAAACTAGAATTGGAAACCTGGAAGCACTGAAACAGAGGCATTTTTGTCACATCGTATGCAACTGATCAGTGGTGGTAGTGCGCATCCGCGATTCCTGCTACTCACAATATTCGAAGCTAGGACCTTTGGTGTCGTGCGCGCACAAACGCCTAACCACTGGAGCACAGAGCTCTTTTTGTGTTACACAGTACCATAACCGATAAAATGACCTTCTAGACTCAAACCTTAAAAAAATGGAGTTAAGTACCTAATCTCCATGATGGAGTATATGAATTGCATGGGTCTGGGCCTATGTAATTCATATGCAAGCAGTACGTCTTTTGGCTCACACAAAGGCAAGGCAAGCTGGAAGGTTTGTACTGTAACAAGCCAGTGAGGCTTAATTATTTCACGAAAATGAGTGACATATAGAGTGCTTGCGCCTATACATATGTCATGAAGCACTTAGTCGAAAGCTTGAGTACCACAGGTTTGAATGTAATCCATCAGAGATAGTCGGTGGCAGTAAACACGTTGATGAAAGCGGCTACTATTTGCCCACCTAGAGGCAAATTACCAAGGGATGCACAGGTGGAAACTCGTGTGTTCCTATTGTGCATGCAATGTATAACTTATCTCCCGACTAATCGTGCCTTTTTTATATGTCATCAGATATTCGAAGTGAAAATTCAAATGGTTCTGATATGCATGTGAAGTAGCTGGCTCCTGGTGAGATTGCCTGTGTGTTACGATCATTGAGATAATGGTTTCCCATAAAAGCACATTCATGTCGTGGACTCGTGTATCTCGAAAGAAATCTGTTGATAGAATCGCCTCTTGTTATCATATTTCAAACATTCCTTTATAAACATACAAAACCAGACGACTACATCACACCTATAAATGGAAAATCATAATGATACTTGACTGAGCAAAAAACGTAGCTGTGAGTAAGAGGAGACTTTAAATAATCGACTGCCAACAAATCCTGAAAGCACTGGATAGCTGCTTCGTCCTAGTATGGGACTCCTCTGAGCAGTCTACGTTAAATCATTTCATGATTTCAACCATGAGAGTGATACAATCTCCACAAATTCCGTTCATTAAAATAACATCATCATAGAGTTATGAAGATAGTTAAGTTTCATTAAAATCATGAATCTACAGGTTAAGTAATGGAGCATGAGACCAAAGACCCTGAGTTCGATTCCAACGCGTGTGTATCATGGATGCACACTGCTGATGAGACTGATACCAGGATGAAATGATCGTCCAGTGCTTCCAGATTTCTAATGATGGTGGTCTAACATTGATCAATGCATGATTTCAAAAAAATGTAACTCAACAATCTCCAGAACCCTACAATGAAAATCTTATTCAGATGAATATATGAAATAAAAATAATATTTTACAAAATAAACTAATAAATTTTAGATTACATAATCTTCATTATAACTTTATCAGTGAAGTGAATTGTTTTTAGTTGATAGGTCTACATGTCATTAAAATAAGTGTGTGACGAATTCCACCTGTTACTCCTAATGAAGCGCATAGTCCTTCGACCTGTGAATTCTGCAATGTGTCCGCTTTTCAATCAGTGACAAAATCCTAGTTGAATATACTAACTGATGAATGAAGTTAGTTGCCTGAAACTATCAAACTCTTGACTCCAATAACTAATTTTACTTGGTTGGAATTCCAGAAGAGGTCATTGATACACATACTAGAACAAAATGATTATTCAATGCTTGATAGTATTCAGTGATTGTTTGACTAAAATTAATGCTTTGTGTACGCTTTACAATTATACTTGAGACGGTGGAGAAAATTTGTAACTCAGATAGATGATTGTAGAGTGGTTTCGTTCTCTCAGCTGGATGTTTTAGTTATGGAGCTTTCATTGCTCTGCTTCTGAACAACCACAAATTTCTCAACGCGTATGACCTGTAGCTTGTTCTGTTAACCTTGACCTGGATATATCCGAATACTTCACTTCTTCTACCTAACGTTTGTGCTGATCATGTTGTTGTTCAGAAGAAGAACAATGAAAAATCCACAACCAAAACATTCAGCTGAGTAAATGAAAGACTATCACCACAATATTATACGTCTAAGTGTCCAATAGTACTTGTTTCATTGTGTAAAAATCGATTTATCTCATGAAAACATTAATTTCTTACCTAGCTAAAAGTCTTGCTGGTGATGACAATGTTTTGTTCAACTTATTCATTCAAAATTAAAATCAAATGGTGATTGGTTAAAAATGCTTGTATCATTGTTGCACTATTAATCAATAATTTTCTTGTCATCCCTTACTCTTTTTGCATATTTCCACTTCATTGTCATCTAATTTAACATTCAACTATATACTACTTATTTATTGATATACTAATACATTTAACCAACGTTTAACTGTTCATAAAATACACTTTAAACCTAAACTCTACCATTTTGTAATGGGAATAATTAATGTGACTGACTTTATGGGATTTTCTATTCAATGGTCAATGGACAAGGTGATCGTTGTTCAATGTTCAATTCTTATGACTCATAACTTTGATTTTGTTCAGTTAATGCTGCTGCTTATAACATGATAATGCTTATCATTATTTTTAATTAAGTGTTTTCTTTTATCGCAATATATGTTACATTATATCTGTAGTTCAATAATATTTTTTTTTCAAAATTTTACATTTTAATCTTTCAATTAACATACTGTAATATTTTCAAATAGTAAATAGATCATATGCTCCTGGATGGGAACAACAACAAGATGGTTTTCGTACAATCGCAACAACAAATTATCATCGTGAAATGCACACATCTGGACCACAATCACCATATCTGTAAGTAGTTGATTTCTAGTTTGTTTTATTATGCTTATACATACATACTGTTATCCATAGTGGAGCATAGGCCACCAACTAGCATTCTCTAGCCAACTCTATGTTCGGTTTTCTTTTCCAATTCTATCCAGATTGCTGTTCGTTCTTTTCATGTCTATCTACAATTCTCGGAGCAGTGTATTGTTTCGTCTTCCTGTTTTCCTTTGACCTTGAGGATTCTAAGTGGGGCCTTTTCTTGTGATGCGGATGGGTGATTTACTCAATGTGTTGTCCTATCCACCTCCAGCGCTTTCTCCCAATTTCTTCTTCTACTTGAATCTGGTTTGTTCTCTCTATAGCAGATTGTTGCTGGCGGTGTCTGTCCGATGCACCCGAAGTAACTTGTGTAGACAACTGCTATTATTAAAGTGACAAGATGAAATTTCATCTCAAATTAGGCTATTGAGATTCAGTCTAGCAATACAGCACATAGTGATACCCTCTCTAATCGAATAGCAACAAACAGATTTTGAATTTGTAATCAGTTAATTTATTGAACATTTAGTATTGTACATTGAAATCATGAATGAATCATTATGTTAGATCACCACTAAAATCCTGGAAGCATTGAAAGACGGTCGTTCTGCTCTAGTATGGGACTCATCACTGATAGTCCGCATCCACGACTTCCCACAGGTGAGGCCGCGCCACATCAGAAATTGAGTAAAGTTAGACAATAACACCGTTTGGTGCCGACTCAGCAGTTCAGAGATTAAGTGTTCATGTACGAGATTAAAGATTCTAGGTTCGGTTCCGTTGTGCTGGGCTCCTGAAAGCGTACTGCTGATTACTTCAATACTAGGAAGAAACGGCCATCATACAGTGCATTCAGGTTTTTAATAGTGGCTTAACATTGATCGATTCATGATTTCAACTGAACTCAATAGTCTCGATGACTCTATAATGAACGATCATTTATTTAACTTGTATTGTTCAAACTAAACTAAACTCTCATAACTAAAATTAATAAACGTTAAAACGTCAATACTCCACACGTACTAGTAATGTCAATCTTCTTAGAAGACTAGAGTTTCACTCACATACTTATTTGTCTGCTTATTTACTTTGGTCTGTTACTGCATGTTACGTAAAGGTCACTGATGTCTGTTTTATTGATTAACTCAGATATTTCAACCAATCTTCTGTATTATCGAAAATTCCTATGAACAGAAGCTATAAGGAAAATGAACTTCATACTAGCATAGCATTCATCTGTCATAAACTTTTAAAGTAGATTTTGTAAAACTTGTTAACAGGTGGATGGACACCAGCTTATTGAATCATTGTAAAGTATGCCTCTTCAATGAACATCATTTCGTGACTGGAATTTGAGATTTATTGAACGATTTTTGGTGTTAACGCCTTGAAGTTATCTTGATCAAAAGACTATTGAGAACTACCAAGCATTGGATAGTGGTTTTATGAATGTATAGAATTCTTCATTAGTGCATATCTATGACTATATTACTAGGTTATGGGACCTCATTGTCAAATCAGTGAGTAGACATCCTCCTGGGTTTATGATTTGAGCCAACTTGATTTAGAGAGCAATCAACTTTCAATCTATTTGGTAGGTAGTTAATTTGTCCTCAAACATGGTATAAGTCCGCTAGTAACCGCTTTTCACAAGAACGATGAAATGAAAGCTTAAAAGCGCTTATTAACGAGTATATGATCTAACTAGGATTTAAGCGTTTGTAAATGAGGTCAACAGTCCTGGACTCAACTCCTGCGTGAGGGAGGGGGAGTGAAGTTTTGAATTTCAGTGACCGACTATCTGATTACAATTTTACACGAACCAATCAATATGCTAATGAAGTAACTCGTTTATTTAATGTCTCTTAGAAGTACCCCGTTTGTGAGACGGTGGTAATCAGAAGCATAAGACAATTTTATTCGGTTGACTTTATTTCATACATTCGGTATGCAAACAGACATAAGAATAAAAAACATAAGAGTGAAGTGAAGTGACATGAAGTAGAGAAGATGATTGTGGTAATGTTTCATTCTCTGAGTTGGATATTTTGGTTGTGAAGCTTTCATTGTTCTTCTGAACACAACATCATCAGCACAAACTTCAGGTAGAAGTGAATGAAGTATTCGAATTTCTCCACGTTAGACCTGTAGCTTGTTCTGCTAACCTCGATCTTGATTGGTTGCTGTTGACCTTCAACCTGTAAAACAAGCAACAGGTCATACGCGTGGAGAAATTCGAATACTTCACTTCTGCTATCTGAAGTTTGTGCTGAGGATGTTGTGTTCAGAAGAACAATGAAAGCTTCAAAACCAAAACAACATCTAGTTCAGAGAACGAAACACCACCTGAGCTACAATTTTTCTCCACCGTCTCAGAGAAGACGATTAGGTGAACTCAATCTAATAAGACATAACCCTAACTATTCGTAGTCCGAGAGAGGATAAGATTAGACATGTGATAAACGAACTAAACAATGCACCCACATAGATTAGTTAGTTTTTATTCAAAGACTGTGATAAGTCATCTTAGCTCGACATATTATATATAGTACACATTATCAATTTAACAAAAAATTCAATTCAGACTGCTAAACCATAATAGTTCTATTTTTTTCTATTGTCAAAATTATGTAACATTTCTTACTTACTTATTGATTTATTTGGCCGTATTTTTTCACATTCTGTATACTTTTAGCGGAACAATTCGACAAAATTCACAATATGAAGCAACACCAGTAGTGAATCGATCAATCGTTCAACAATCTGTCACACCATGTAAGAAAAAGAATGAACTAACCAATTTTTAAAAAAAAAAACAGAGCAAAGAATTTTAAATGATCGATTTCAGATGTTTTTGTTTTGTGTCATTATGCATAAAATGTATATTCTATAACATGGCTATGAAGAGGCGCTAGGATATTTGTAGGCTAACTAGTATTTGATCATAGAGGTGTCTTTGAAGTATTGCTTCTATATCCTGGTATCAGTGAGTAAGTAATACGTGGATTAGGAAACGGATACTAGGTCAAAATGGCAGATGAATAGATGAAATAGTAAAGTTTAATCAGTTGAGGTAGTTGGGAGGACATGGGTTAGGTATGCCTAACCATCAACTGTCACGATGAGTTATATTGTTCGATGTCTGGTTGGTTTGGAACAAAGCTAGTATCAGTCAAACTAAAATATGGGAAAATTCATGAAGTCATTGAAAATTAAACAACTGAGTCAGACTGAAGTCCGAGAGATAATTGTAACCGATGGTTAAGATCTCTGAATGACATAACTGCAAATCGTTTACAATGGTGCAGATACATCCATTCTTTGTGGTCGTTCAAATTCTAATCTACTAAAATTCCTCGCGACCTTTTCTACTACCGCTGCTACCATGAGATTTGAATTGACAACTCTATCTCACAGTGCTAATATGGTCTGACTTATTTGGTAAGACTTCCGAGTGACCCACTAGAGATTCAACTGCATGACTTTTAGGACTCTTTGCCAACATTGGCGAAGCCTAAAGTTCTACATTTCCAAGTAGTTATTATTTCATAGTACTTTGCAACCCTTATCTAATCCCACTGGTAGTATGTTTCTCAAACATGACTGTCTCAACTTATCATTAGAAATGTGAACTAGTAGCTGTAGCTTGTTCTGTTAACTTCAGTGTTGATTGGTTGTTATTGACCTTGAACCTGTCGTTGTTCACACATCCGAATAATGTACTTACTTCTTCTATCTGAAGTTTGTGCTGCTGATGATGTTGTGTTCAGAAGAACAATGAACGCTTCCCAACCGAAATATCCAGCTCAGAGAACCAGAAACACCACCACTAAAATCATCCATCTGAGCTACCATTTTTCTTCACCATCTCAATCCATTCATGATAGACATTTACAGAATCAAATAGTTTCCATCAAAATCTATTCATCTCATTTATTATTTTTAGATATTATTGTATTTATTTTGTGATTTGTTCTACATAAAACTTTAGTCTCACCGAATGGCAGTTTATCTGGAACAAATATTGGCGATGCTATCGATGGTGATTCGGCTGGAATGCGTCAAGTTCTTGACACTTCTAAATATTGGTATTTACCAGGAATTTCACGTCCAGATGGTATGTTCACATTTTTTCGTTTGTTTGTTTGTTTGAAATATTTGAAACATTTGACAAATAAGACTGTTACCGTAAAAGTAGCCTAGGCCGCCAACCTGAGAATTCTTTCTTTGATTAGCGTTTCTTTTTCTTAGTGAATTGAATTTTCACGGGGATGCGGTCGCTGCTAAGCCCAAGCCCATCGCTCCTTCTTTATCCGCTGGGCTTGGGATCGCGGGCAGTAACCCTAGAAGGGATTCAGGCGGAGTTATGCACGCACACACATATATTCAAATGAAAACAATCAGGTTATGAAATAATAACTGACAAGGTCAGAAGACGTGAGAATAAATAACTCAGGGCAGGAAAGCCTGACTTGTTTGTTCAACAGCTAAGACACGTCATATGGGTGCAATACATTAATATACATACACACTACCGTTTTTTTACATCGTCGGTGCAAATTTTCATCTCTTCCCTTAATTTTAATGAAATCATGAAATCTTCTCTCATACATATTAGTTATTTATTTACAACACTCACATATGTATTACTGAATATCATGAATCAGTCATTGTTAGACCACCATATTAGAAACTTGAGAGCACTGAAAGATGGCCGTTTCGTCCTGGTATAAGACTCATCAGTGTCACTACACATCCACGACTTCTGTACCGCACAGGATTTTGACCCAGGACCTTCAGTCTTGCGTGCAAACGCCTAACCTCTGGCAAACTAGGCCGGCAACAAACAATGTTAATGTTTAATTCTGATGAATCCAGAGATTTTACGAAACGGCCGTCTTTCAGTGCTTCCAAGTTTCTAATATGGTGGTCTAACAATTATTGATTGATGATTTCAAATGTGTAAAAACTCCAACTGAAAAAATCTCTTATGAGTCAATTATCACAATGAAGTATAAAGCCATTACGTAACCACTACACAGAATAGGTAACAGTAGAAGCTGACAGTATGAGATGGAAGTGTACTGTTCGTAGTAGTGGTAAGAATAATAAAGTACAATGACAACACAGTTTTTTATCAACATAGTTCAACATTGAAACTGGTAAATCAAACGCGGATGAATAGACTTAAATTAATAATAATTACAAAACATCAAAAATAATGATTTAATAAGTAGTGTATACATCATTAGATAGTGAAGAATATCGTTTGCATTAGCTGTGCAGTGTGATAAATGAATGTGAGAAGAGTTAGTCGTGGAGATAAGAGAGGTATTAGGGGGTGTAGGAAGGATTTGATTCTGACCGATTTGGTCTCGTGTGATGTTACGAGTGTGAGGGCGGTTGTCACTTCCTGGCTGCTCACAACGTGGAAGGTTGTTTCTAGAGGATCTTGAAAAGGAAGGTAGACTAGTGTTGGTCTTGGAGACCTGGCAGGGTGACCGCAGAGCCCAAGGGACAACTGCTTGAGGCCGGTCACGCACGGCCTTTTTATGAGAAGTATTTAAAGAATAAGCTCCACTCTTTTAAAACCCTGAGTGGGCAGCCCATATCGCCGTGGACGGAAATCCGTGAGGTAGGGTGAGGTGTGACATTTTTAGTATCGATCTTTTCTAACCCTTCCTTCTTATTGAGAAGGCGGAATCGCTGCAGATGCTGGTTGTCCGAGGGGAACACCTTACTGCTATCACACCCCACTACAGTCAGCACTCAGACCTCGGGTAGCTGCTTTTAGTCTCATCGTTCTTCAGTCGACCTGCGTTGCATTGTAGAACCTTCAGGAACATATGTTCCAGCCAGTATAGCTCCGCTAGATGATCACGATAGGCAAGCCCGACCACCACGTCAAGGTAGGAGCTACGGAAAGACGCAGAAAATTACCAACAAATTTCGAATGTGAAAATGAGGCTAATTATAACCGAAAAAACATATATTAAGTTATTCTTATATGGCCATGGAAGGGACAGGGGTGTCTCAATTGGATGTTTGAATCCCTATAGTTTTTGCTGTATATTTAGGAGATGGGATCGAACCCCCTTAGGCAATCACGGAGGTGTATACGATAGATCGTTCGAAATGATTCAGATTGATCTATATTACGACTGCTATCAATCAGATATGCCAAGATAGAACAGAGTATCATTTGTTTATCTAACCCTTTCGAAAACCATACTGAGAGACGTTCACTCATTCTTTGGTAAAGTTTCCTACCACTTCAGAGACAGCTGAATGAATTCATAAATGTATATTGAGGGGAAAAGTTCACATAATTTATCCTTCAGTTGAATAGACATCGCTTGTCGACTAGAGAATATCATTGTAAGAGTGATCGCATAGACTATCCTAACAGTTGTCTAATGACAATCTAATTGAAAACAACAATGTTGCAATGCAAACAAACGGGATTATTTTTAAATGAACAGAAATAATGTTTGCTAGTCGTTATGCGCTGACAATAATTTCATGTAAAAAGTCATTAGAATCTAGCAAAATCCTAACAGTCAATCAACTAATCAAAGTTGAAATGGTGGAGAGAAAATCTATAGCTCAGGTGGAGATGATTGTGAAAGAGTTTCATTCTCTGAGCTGGATGTTTTGGTTGTGGAGCTAGAAAATTTTCCACAGCTTTACCACTCAGGTCAATTAGCAATCAACAAATACATCATTATTGATCCGATTTATCAACCAATCAGAAAAATCATAAAATGTAGACTTCTATCCGACGTTTGTGCTAATGAGGTTGTTGTTGTTGTTGGTGGTGTTCAGATGGAGCATGACAAAAGCTCCACAACCAAAACATCCAGCTCACCAAGAACGAAACTTCACCTTAACTAATCAAACTTCTCTAACACTTTCCATCAAAAATTCTAGAAAATATCAAAAACTGTTTACATTTATTGATTGGTTAGGCAAAAAACGTTTATTAATTCTGTTTCTAATTGTGACATGTTTCCTAGACCATCATTTCCTCAATAAAAATCTGTTGGATTACGTTAAATCCCCAGAAAACTCACTTGGAAAATGTCCTTATTTTGTAATTTTATTCTGAAATTTTGAATTTTTATGTTTTCGCGCCACAGACGCTTAGTTGACCTACCTACGGCTTACATTTCCCATTCGGAAAATCCTTGACTGCCTATTGGTTGATCTATTATTTCAGTACGCTATTTCGTGACTCTCACCAAGATTGTTTTATAAATAAGCTTGATCTATGTGTGCTTGTGAATACATTCTCTCTACGCCCTATCAAGACTTCATGCTCTACTTAGCGGGACCTGGGACAATCGTAATAGAATCGCCTATCGTGTCACTGCATCGTTGATCTTTTTACTAAGTAAGGTGAACTCGTAATATTTTTCAAGCATATCAAAATCACATTGAAAGAAACCAAGATGTTCATATTGAAAATGTGATGGAATGCAACAGACAGTAACCAGAAATAAAAAATCGAAACTTAGAAGTTATTAGAGTATACGATTTCAAATACGCGTCACATGTGTATTGAATGAGTTAGTAATTGTCATGAGAAGACTGAAGCAGGCGAAGAAAATTATGTAATGCAAATTTACTCTCTGAGTCAATTAAAAACGACAACATTACATTGAATAATCTATTTGCACACTATCTTTGAGTCGTGACTTCCAACGCTCCATCCTTCTTCCATTCCTGTTGTTGCTTCCTTTTCTTCCTGTTGGTACTCCATTTACTTCTTGCTTTTGCTCCACTTGCTTTCCGTTTTCCTCTTCTAACCGTGAGACTTCTTCTTTCACATCCCTTCGTATACTACTTATATCGTTCGTATAAGTAGCACACACCACAGCCATACATTCATATTCGTTTAGTTTAATGTTGTTGTTTTTTAAAAAAAATCACATTGAACATTGAAATGACCATTTTCATCATCATCATCATCATCAATCTTAAAATGATGTTATATTTCATTGCAGTTATTGCATTATTACGTGATAAAGAACCGGGAAGTTTTGTTATTCGTAACAGTAATACATATGCTGACAGTTTTGGTTTAGCATTGAAAATTCCACCAAGTTCACCAAGAGTAATGTCGAATAAAGGTGAGTTGATTCTTTGATAATATTACTCTCATAGATTAATTACATGAATCATTATCAATCAATCGAAGTGATAGTTTTTTTAAGGGAGATAAGTTATAATCAGTTCAGTTGAATGACATGGACTAAAATCTTATTAGAATAAAAAATCGGTTTTCTTTAAAACTCTACAGTTAGGTCTTTTTTACTAACAACTACTAACTAACACAATGTTTTTTCTCAAGGACAATTTCTTTTTAACTACCATCAACTGGTAGGATTTGATTTCGACCAATCAGGTCTCGTGTGCTGTTACGGGTATGAGGGCGGTTATCATTTCCCGGTTGCCCACAACGTGAAAGGTTGTTTGTTTCTAGAGGAACCTGAAAAGGAAAATAGATTAGTGTTGGTCTTGGAGACCTGGGTCAGTGACTGCAGAGTCCAAGGGACAACTGCTTGAGGCCGGCCACGCAAGGCCTTTTGATGAAAGGTATTTTGAGGATTAGCTCCACTCTTAAAGGCTCTTAGTGGGCACCCTTACCCAAGGAGATGGAAGTAGGATGAGGTATAACATTTTTAGGGTCGACCTTTTCTAACCATTCCTTCCTTGTGAGAAGGCAGCATCGCTGCAGATGCTGGTTGTCCGAGGGAAACAGCTTACTGCTGTCACACCCCTCTGCAGTCAGCAGTACGACTTCATCTTCAGACATTGAGTAGCTGCTTTTAGTCTCATCGTTCTCCAATCGACCTGCCTGGCATGGTAGAACCTTCAGGAACATATGTTCCAGGCAGTATAGCTCGGCTGGGTGATCACGATAGTCAAGCCCGACCAACACGTCAAGGTGGCAGCTACGGTCGGGAACTACCATCAACAGTTTAGTATAGTTGACTAATTTACACGTGATAACTCTATTGGAAACTGTGACAATGAACGAAGTCAAGCAATATTGTGGATTAATTCAACTAAGATATAAAAACCGATGGATGCTGGATCAATGGTTCACATACAAGACTAAAAGTCTTGAATTCCAGTCACGGTTTCAACGCCTTAGATGCGTATTACTGATAAATCTCAGATAGGGACGAAACAGCCGTACACTTCTGTTAGGTCTCCAATAATGTTACCACATTAATCGATTTTGTATAACTCAATAGAGTTTGTTTGTTTTTTCGTCTCCCTCTTTCTCTCTCTCATTTCTCCTTTGATCAATAGAAGACGCTCAATCGGAATGGGTCCGTCATTTTTTAATTGGTACAGTACCAATGCAAGATGGACGCGGAAATGGTGTACATTTGCGCGGTTTCTCTAGTGATCCAACATTTCCAAGTTTAGCAGCATTTGTTCATTATCATATCCAGAAACAAGGTGCTCTACCATGTACACTACGTCTTCCAGTATTGACAAATCAAACACTGTTATACAATCAACAACGAACTACCAGTTTAAATGAACAAACAGGAGTTTATGGTATAGATCCATCATTACAAACAATTCTACCGACTACTAGTACAATGAGTTAGTATTATTTTTTTTTATATTTTGGTAATTATTGCATAATTGCACTGTCATGTTGTTTGGCGATAAGCTAAGTAAGTGACGTTTCTGCGAACATTCTTCGTTTGAAGCACACAAACCCACTGTATGCATGTGCTGTTGTGGAGGTCGCACCACGAACAAGTGTGTATTTTACATGCATATCAGTAGCATTTGAGTTTTCACGTCAAATAACTCATGACACAATTATTCCGCAGGTCAGTAATACATCACATGCACACTAGAAACACACGAGTTTCCACCTGTGCATTCCTAGGTATACTACACATAAGAATAATTTTCCTCTGGGTTGGTCGCCGATTTCATCAATGTATTTACTGCCACCGACTGTTGCCTATGTGTGACTAACAAATCACTGACACACCAGCTTTTTACTAAGCACTTCATGGCATGTATGTAGGCGGCAACATTCTATTTCTCAACCATTTTTATTCTTTCACAGAACTGTGTATTTTGGGAAATAATTAAGCTTCGCTCTATTGTTATAGGGTGGACTTTGCAACTGATATTGCCTTTGTGTGCGTGAAAACACGTATCGTTTGCATCTACCTACTCATATAAACTATATATATGCTGAGCGTCATACAATTTTATATACACAAACATACAGATTGAGTAGTTCGTTCCGAATTTAGGTTTCAACTTAGAGCGACTCTTTAGCCTTTTGTGATAATAGAACGCGTGATAAACGTGATCTCATCTCCACTGGCCGCCTAAGTTAGCTATGCCAATAAGAGGAGGCATTCGATTGGTTTGTTCAAAGCTACTACGACTTCACTACAAATTGAAACTGTGATCTATGCAGAAAATTTTTAGCGTATTCAAATTCTTTTCTGAACAATTATTTGGCATAATCATTAAATTTAATCGTGTATGCAATTTTCGATAGAACAATGCGAAGAGGTTGGTTGGTCGGTAAAAATGTTGTGATCTATTTGCGCGCTATACACATTTCGAATAATCTAGTCGCACGCACATGAACACTTGTCAAGGCATTTTGATACGAGAAAATCGATTAATTTAAGGTCAATTAAATAAACGTTTGAATAGACATGAGGTGGTAATTGTAAAAATGAAGGAGAGAGAAAATTAACGTCAGCTATAAAATGGCTTAAAGATGACCAGGCTAAATTTTTAAGGTTATCACAAACTGTTTATGTACATAGAAGCGGTGCGGTTTTGATTTTACGAATGGCCACGGCTTCTCCAGATGATCGTCTGGATTATGTAGACGCCAACACTAAGGACTCAATTTTCAGTATAAATGTGAAGACAGTTCTACTCTGTATGGAGCTGAAACTTGGAGAACTACGAAAGCCATCATCCAGAAGATACAAGTATTTATGAACAGTTGTCTACAAAAAATACTTCGGATTCGTTGGCCAGACACCATCAACAACAACCTATTGTGGGAGAGAACAAACCAGAATCCAGTTGAGGAATAAATCAGGAAGAGTCGCTGCAAGTGAATAGGACATACATTGCGGAAAGCACACAACTGCCTCACAAGACATGACCTCATTTGGAATCCATAAGGCGTAAGTAAAAGAGGAAGACCAAACGACACATTACACCAAGAAATAGAGAAAGATATGAGAAGAATGAGCCAAAATTGCCCGTAACCAGAAAGAGATGCCCAGGATAGAAAAGTAGGTTGGAGATTGCTGGTTGGCGGCCTATACTCCATCAGGGGTAATAGGCGAAAGTAAAAAACATCCGAATTTGTCCTCGACCGTATCTAATACAATGTTTTAAAAGCTGTTTTGATGATGAACATAGTTTTCTATCTCTCACGTTTATCATCGATTTATCTCTTAAAAAAAAACATTTCCTTTCATCACAGCTACCGAAATGCTTTATCTTGGCTCCATTGAAGTGGATCGTCTTGAAAATATGAATGCTGCAATTCGTGCGATCAATAAAATTTTCAATTTATCACAATCTTCCGCAAATGGTTTACCGAAACGTTGTGAAGTACAAATTAAAGTAATTCCATATGAAGGCATTATATTCAGTGAAAAATATAAACGTGCTCTATGGAGAAAATTGATTAAACCAAATAATTTATTATGGTGTGGTATGGATCCAGAAAATCGAGAGTAAGTGTTTTTGTACGACTCACTAATTAGTGAGTATATGTTCTAACTTAGTTAGTGTTGCGAATGTTCGATTCCCAGAACTCGCTTGATATAAATATCTTTGTTTTGGACTTATTTCATGGACCAATCAGTTGACCTTGAGATCACATTTTCCACCAGCGAAAATCCTTGTCCGTGATTGGTTACTGTGTCATTTTAGTGTGCTATTTTTATGACTGTCCCAAGGACGTTTCTATAGAGTTTAAAAAAATAAACGCAATTTGAGTGCTTGGATTCATTGTGTGTTGGCTTGGCTGTTTGTAGAATACAAATTTCTACACTGTATCAAGACTTCTTGCTGATATAATTTGACCTGGACGCTGGTTCATTGTTTTGTTCTCGTTATTCGACTAAGGTGAACGCGTAATAGTCTTAAGCATGCCTAGAGACGAGTGTAACAGTTAGTTAGTCAGTTATGACATAGAACTTCGTATGTACGTAACTACATAAGTTCATGTTGCCATACCGCATCAGCACATACAGATGCAATTGTCAGTTTAAATCACATAGTAGTAGAGGTAGTAGAAGTATTAGCAGTAATCGAGGGAGAGATTAGGGTTCGAAGATATGATTCAAGAAGTAGAATCTAGTGAAATAAACTGAAAAATAAAAAGATAAAGGTGATTAGGAACTCCGAAGGTCAGGATTTGAGAGAACATAAAGAATGAATGCTCCTGAGCCATTGCAAAAGTTTGTCTAACCATCGATTATTATCATCTCGCGGACCTCAACTAGGTGGCCTACATCTACCAACATGACTCAGTGCACTTGTCAGTGACTTCATGCATTTCTGCCATGTTTTGGTCGATGTGTTATAGTACACACTGCAGAACTGTTCAGTCCGTTATCAGTTAGTGTTAACAGGTAGTGAGCATTGAATTGTTTAACTTCAAGTATCTCAGTGTCTTTCGATACACATTACTTTGTCTTTTGATATCAATATGAAGAAAAGAATACTTTATGTTGTGAAGTTTCACAGAAGACGGTAGATTTTATTGTTTATGTTCTAGATTGACCAAAGTGAAGTGTGTAATGATTTGAAATTGTATACAGATGCAATAATTTACAACGTAATTGTTGTACATTTTATACACATTAAAATTATCAATCTGTCATTGTTAGACCACTATTAGAAACCTGGAAGCATTGAAAGATGGCTGTTTTGTCATGATAAGGAACTCATCGGCACAACACATCTACAACTCCTGCCCGCAAAGTTCGCTCTCAGGATCTTCTGTCTTGCACGCGAATGCCTAACCTCAGGACCACTAGGTAGGCATCCAAAGGTGTTAATGACTAACTGTGATCAATCTAGAGATTTTGCGCGACCTCATGCATTTGTCCTCGATAGTGACATCCTACAGGAGTGAACTCGCAAGAGAGGAAATAAACTCTTCCAACTCTCGCTATATCAGAACATTTAGGGTCAACTCTGTTGATCGTCAAAATTACTATTTTGATGTTAAATGTACAAGCATTGTTTAACGTTATTAATCTAAATTATTTTTGCTTCTACGTTTTTTTTTTAAAAAAATCAACAGATTTAATGATCCCGAATTACGATCTAAAGGAATGTATGGTTCAAAGTAAGTCATGTTATCATTAATCTATTAATTTGTAAACAATAAACTCCTAATCATTTAATAAATATTGAACTTAAGTTGTAAAAAGGTTACACCAGAATATTCTGAAGATTTTATTAAAATCATGAATCGATCAGACCACCATTAGAAACCTGAAAGCACTGAAAAACGACCATGATCAGTGAAATTCAACTGTGTCGGGAGTAGGCAGTAGTTACCTACCGAAGACAACTAATGAGATTGAGTAATATCGTGGGTTGATTAAAGTTGAACATTAACATTGTTAGTTTAGAGTTTCAGTGTTCACGCGCGAGACCGGTTTTGAGTTCGATTTCCGTTTGCAGTCCGTAGATACGCCGTGCTGATAGGTCTCAAACTAGGACGAAACAGCTGTCCAGCTCTTCCAGATTTCTAATGATATTTTAACAATGATTGATTTTATGATTTCAATGAAACTCAGCAACCTTCACAATTCTAGAATCAAAATTCTGTAGATTGTGGCATTTAAAAGTTCATATCACGCACTAACTTACATTAAATAACACTAGAAATCTAGGCAATCACTAAAACAAAATCTCTAATTACTATATTGATAAGAAATAACTCTTCTAGTTAGTTTCAGCGAGAATAAACAATTATGTAGTAAAATTATAACTGATATCATATGACAGCCATGTTGCAATAACACAGAGCGATGAAATTGTCAGTGCAAGCTGCTTATCCCAGTCTTCGGACAATTTTATCAATTCATTCTTCTCGAGTTATTATTCACTCGCCTCTTGACATTGTCCACTATATTAGCCCATAGCCTTACTCACTTACTTATGCCTGTTACGATACAATGGAGCATCAGCCGTGGGCCAGTATTATCCAGACTACTCTGTCCTGGACTTCCCATTACAGTTCCGTCCAGTTGTTGTTAATTTTCCTCATGTCTGTCCCCATTTCTCGATGTATTGTGTTGCTTGGCCTTCCTCTTTTCCTTTAACCTTGAGGGTTGATGGTGAGGTCCTGTCTTATGATGCTGTTGGGTTCTTTACTCATTGTATGTCCTATTGACTTTTTCCTAGAATCTAGTTTGTTCTCTGTCACAGTAGGTTGTTGCTGATGGTTTCTGGCCAACGTATTCACAGTGTTTCACGCAGACAACTGCCTCATCACATGGAATCGGCTCACTCGTCTTCTTCACTTCGTTGCCTTTATCTGCTTGTATGTTTTTCATTCTCCTGTCTGTCTGCACGAACGACCTCTTGAAATAAACTCACCCAACCAAATCTCTATTTGGTTTGTTATTACCTCCGTCGCATAAACTCAGTTCACCGAACTATAATATACACAAAATGAAGGAGAAATCCATTTCATAGCATACTTGAACGTTCGTAAATAACCGAACGAGTTGGTTCACAGAATACTAAACGAATGAGCTTTACTCCCAATTCAACGCATCCATTATACAACTCTGTTATATTACAGAGTGGTTTCAAAATTGTGTAACTTAACAATCTTCACAACCCCGTAATGCAAATTACCTAGGCTCACTAGTGACTAGCTTCATGAGGAATCTTCTACGAGTTCTAGTGGGAAGACGTGACCAGTGAAGTTCAACCTGTTCAGGTGTAGACAGTAACTACCGAAGACTGTGTGTGAGGTTGCGCAACTGCGTGAATTGATCAAGTTAGACATTAACACCGTTAGATACCGGCCCAGTGGTCCGATGGTTAGGCGTTCGCGCACAATACCAAAGGTCCTGGGTTCGAATCCTGCGAGATGAAGGAGTCGTGGATGCGCACTGCTGATGAGTCCCATACCAGGACGAAACGGCCGTCCAGTGCTTCCAGGTTTCTAATGGTGGTCCAACATTGATCGAATCATGGTTTCAAAAATATTAGAGAGTGTAAAATATAAGTAGATATAGCGAGAGAGAGAAAGAGAGAAATAACCTAATTTAATGTGAATTAAATGTTCAATATTCACTGGTTGATATTGATCATTGATCAAAGAGATTTTATTAAATAATTACCATTTATTACATGAAATTATCATGAAATTATTTTGTAATTATATAAGATTTTTATTTATTTTCCCCGGGTTTTGTTTTTTTCTCTCATCTTTAAAAAAAAACATTTCCATAGAATATTTGCTTTAGTGGCAAGAAAACAACGTTTCTGGTTACATGAAAATGTAGTTTATGTATTTTGTGAAAGTGATCAACATCATTCAGCTATGAACTTAGTACGTTTTATCAATTCGTTATTTTTTGGTATCAAGGATTAAATTGATGTAATTTGGTTTTGCTGTTGTTCAACTTTCTCATTTCAATGTTCAATACCCACCAGACATTTAATGGTTGTCGGTATTCAATTGTTCAATATTTTATTCTTCATGTTTCCTGTTTTTCTGTCTTTATTTTTTCTTGAGTTTTTGGTTTTCGTTATGTTGAATATATATCTATATATATATATACATATATGTTTCATGAATTGACGAGATTATTATTTCACTGTTTAAATAAACAACAAGGATAATGATAATAATTAAAATGACCAATTTGACCACTAACTACGCCTATTGAATATTGAATAAATGACAACGCATGAATTCAACTGATATTTATTTACACTGTTTATTCCTAATTATATATATTTATCGTTTATATTTCGTCCATGTTGTATTCATTCTAACTAACTATGATGATTTGTCATGGTTTTTGTTCAAATTGTCAATCACAGTGAATTATTTCGAATGACTTCAGTACAGCGTTTCTTATCTCGTTAAAACACTTTCTTTTTTTCTAGAAAAAATAAAATAACCAAAAACCTTTTTCGATTTCTTACTTCTTTATACACTTCTACACGATATGGGTAAAGGATTGAATTGTTTAAAAACTTCTACTACTCACACTACTACTACTACTACTACTACTACTACTACTATTACTACTACTATTAATACTACTTATATACAGTACGATTCATCAATAAATTCTATCTGTTCCCAAAATTATTCAACTGTCTATTATTTATTCAAACCAATTTATTTATTGAGTTACATTCACTGATCGTTTTTAAATATATATATATATATATATATATATATATATATATATATTTGAATTCTTCTTCTTAATATTATTATTATTATTGTTCTACATTGAATTTAGACACTATTTAAAACAAAAAAATTGTCAATGTTCAATTGTGAATGTTTGTTATTTTTGTGTTATCCATCATCATTTCTCAACATATTTGTTACTAAATAATAATAATAATAATGACAAGAAATACTTGACAGTTTTTTTCTAACTTACTTACTTACTTACATATTGATTTATTCAGTTAAAACTTATTTATTTGAAAAATATAAACAGAAATTTATATTTAAAAATTTACCGGAATTATTTTATTTGTTCTACATTTTGGTCTACCAATTTGTTCAGTATTTCAACAATAATTGTTAATCGGAACACATCACTCACTTACTTTCTTCTTCTTTCATATATAGTGAGAAATTTCACTTTTCTGAAATTTTGTTTGAAAAAAAAAACAATTTTTCTATTTTCAAATAACGATCGATCGATCGATTCTTGATTTGTATTTTATCAAGAAAGCAAAAGCTAGAAGTGTAATGACTCTGTCCGTTTGCGTCATTGATATATGTGCGTGTGCGTGTGTGTGTTGCTTAACAAGTAGATATATCTCTATCATCTGTATACACATGAAAATGTGTTTGTTTTTGGTTAATAAAGGCTTCAGTGTTTTTGGCGCTAATGATTCAACTGACTAATATATTTATCAAAATATCTCTCTGACTACTACTTATTTATTGAATGTTCAAAGTATTTTAAACTGCTCTCTTTTTCACACACGCACACACACACACGCATACACACACTCACACTGACACACACACACACTGACAATTACACAATCACTGCTATGAAGCATTGTGCTACATCTCGCATGCAGACGCACACACACACACACACACAAGTACACTCACTTACTCACGCTCACACATACACACACACACACATATGAACATACAAGATACAAGACCAAGTGTATCTTCACTATTTTGCTTCAGTTAAAAATTGCTTTTTTTAGTTAAAACAAAAACCAAGTTGAATTTTGTACAAAAGTTTATCATATTGTTATTATTACTATTCTTATTATTATATCAATATTACTATTAGTAATAATAACTTTGGTTTTTATTTTTGGAGATGTATTTCATTGAAAGAAGACATGGTTTTCTAGTAAGATCAGGTACAATGAATCTTTAGATTTTCGTTTGACTATCTTCCTACGAATATCTGCTAGTCTTCCATCAAACGCCTTGACTGCGTTGTGAATTCGGATCTGAAACATTTCTTTTTTTCAGTAGTAAAGTCACAGGGCAATACTACTTCGCTGCTTATCTATTGGTATACTACTTACATTCGACTTTGTGAGTAGTATACAGTACACTAACATAATATTCTGTCAGTATTGGAAAAGGTCAACGTATCACTAGTCACTTACTTTCATTTAATCGACGAATATTTTAATTCTTCATGCGAATGTAACCGGATACCGCAATGATGTTATATTATTATCACCTTGATTGAAACATAAATAAAATTGAAAATAACAATTTAGACATAACACATAGTAACCTAGTTTACAGTATCATCACATGAAGAATTCAGTAGTCTTGTTCCCTGTCAGTTACAACGTATAACTTCGTACATAAGTTCATCAGTTCAGGTTGCCATACCATATACATTAGCAGTGCAAGGTGTTAAAGGGATTTGAGAAGGGTGAGACGTGGAGATAAGAGAGATGTTAGGGGATGAGGGAAGGATTTGTTTGTGACTAATTTGGTACGGGTAAGAGGGCAGATATCATTCCCCGGCCGCCCACACCGTGGAAGGGTGTTTCTTGATGAACATGAAAAGGAAGATGGATTAGTGTTGGTCTTGGAGACCTGAGAGTGTGACCGCAGAGTCCATGGGACAACTACTTGAAGCCGGTCAAAAACAGCTTTTTTATGAGAGGTTTTTAGAGTTTGAAAGGCCTTATCTCCGGAGATGGAAATCCGTGAGGTAAGGTGAGGTGTGACATTTTTGGGGTCGACCTTCTATAACCCCTTCCTTCCTTGTGAGAAGGTAACATCACTTTAGATGCTGGTTGTCCAAGGGGAAGACCTTACTGCCGACACACCCCTCTGCACTCAGTAGTACGACTTCACCCTCAGACCTTGAGTAGCTGCTTTTAGTCTCATCGTTCTCCAATCGACTTGCCTGATACGGTAGAACCTGAAGGAACATATGTTTCAGCCAATATACCTCGGTTGGGCTATCACGATGTGCAAGATCGTTAATGTAGCAGCTATGACCGGGTTGACAACGATACACTATATGCTATTTAATAACAGTGATATTCATAACAGTTTTATTCTACGGAATTTGTTTTAGTTATCGACTAGCTAAACCATTAACAAAAATTATTAGGTAAATTTAACGGTTGAAAATCACTCAAAAAGGTGTTTCTTTTTCATAAAAACTAAGTTCTTGCTAGTAATGGATATTCGTCACTTATAAGGCAGAGGTTATGCAATGCCTTGAATTGATTCAAATTCGACATCAACATCGTTGGATAATGCCGTCCTGGTTTCGATTCTCACAGAGGCAGGTCGTGGATCCAATTCGCTGATGAGTCCCATACTAGGATGATATGGCCGTCCAGTGCTTCCAGGTTTTTCATGATTCTGATCTAACAGTCATCAATTAATTAGCTCAACGAAACGCAACATTCTTTATAACTCAATAATGAAACCTTATAGTATTACAACCAAATAAATTGTCATATTTAGTGTAAACACATTTGATTTTAATACAAGTAATCTTTGAAAATATACAATACATGTCATAAGTAATAAGTGTGTACGTGTGTGTGCGTGCGCGTGTGTGTGGACATGAACTATATACCATCATCTAAATATGTGTAGATTTTTACAAGAATAAAACATTCCTAAATCTTCATGCCTGGCACAACTGATTCCAATCAATAGATTTGCAGAATAAATCAATAACTGATCACATTCTTATGCATGTAGCAATGAATACGAAGTGATTTAACAGTGGTATTGATATCTTTCGCAGAAAAAAAAGTTAATCCTAATAACAACATGATTACGGATAATAAAATGAACACAAATTACAAAGCATGAGATATTTTTATGGCATCAATTACACTATTAAAAGTACAAACAAGAAAAATTGTGACCTTGAAAAGTTAATATAAACAAAAGCAAATGATGTACTGTAAATTTCTTTTTTTTAAAACAACACATGATCATGCCTATTAATGATAGTAACTGATCGTTTACTTTCCGAAAATGAGGAAGCTGTTCAATCAAAAGAATATTTAGTAGGATATCATCATAAGAAAATCATTCCTAACTTTAGAAAAGAAAAACTCTTATGTAAAAAGCACAAAATCATAACATTGTAATGATATAGATAAGTGGTTCCATAAAATTAGTTAAACACACTCAAACTACTTGTACAAATTAAGTAGTAAAACTTTAAACTAAAAAACAGGAAATTTTAAGTTGCGAGCAATACACACATCGGGATACTTTACATAACATATTGGACATCATACAATGACGAATACTTTCTTTTCGGCCATATTTTTTTCTTAGTTGATGGACAACAGACTTATTGATAAATAAGTTCTCATATTTTAGTAGACTACAAAAAATTAATGGAATTCTGTAAAATTGTCAAACACACTGGAGTTTTTATTTCGTTATCAAAAATGAATTCAGATTGTGCAATTCAATAAAACATCTAAAAATTATCAAAATATCTCAACTATTAATAGATAGAATAATTTACACAGCAGTGGATGAAATTGCAATATTATTCAAAATTATGAAAAGTTTTTAACATGAATGTTACATCATCAAAGCCAAATAAACTTAGTATTTTAATAGTTTCAAATATATATAATTGTCCTTAAGCCCTTAGGGGAGAAAGGACGATAAAAACAAAGGTGAAAAAAAGATTCAGCATGATTCATTGAAGTCAAATTTAGGAATGGTTACATGTTCAAGCTTCATCTGTGGTGCACGAGCAAGAATGATCACTGAACCAAATATTTCTCTTACTTGGCTAGTTATAATGATACTCAATCTTGAGAAAGTTAATATTTTTTACTAAGCTACCCTAATGTAATGAACTTAAATGACTTAACATTTCAACAAACAGATTTAACTTCTTTTTAAATATGGTGCACCAAATACACTTGCCTTTTTTCCTGAAACATTTTGTCTACTGATTTCTGTATAAGTAGTTGAAAAATAAATAACAAAAAGTGTCTTGAGCTACCATTATTATTATTATTATTTCAGTATTTCATGTATCAGTTGAGTGAAAAACTGAAATTGCGAAACCGGTAATTACAAATTCCATTAGTTACTGAAGCATGTTTTCCCTAATAGAGAGAGTATAGGCAACCGCCCAGCTTTATCCAACCTACTCTGTCTTGAGCACTGCTTTCTAGTTCTACAGAATTCCTGTTTCTTCTTTTCATGATTGCTTCCAATTCTCGGCATATTGTCTTTAAGAACTCCATAGGACGGTATGACTTGTGACACAGTTGGGTTCTGTCTGTAATGTATGTCCTATCCATCTCCAACGGTAAATTATCGTATTTAATTCAGTGTGTGATGTCGATATTAGTGTAAATCAAGGTTTATCAATAAAACAATGCATGCTCTTTGAATAATTTATTCTTCGAAAAGATTGACATAACTGCAAGTGCAACATATAAGAGAGAAATTTCGTAGCGGTTTTTACAAAAATCTGTTGTAGACGTTCGATCCCCAGAACTGATTTGGTAAATGTACTCATTTTGGGTTTCGTGTGTTCACGCGCATTTGCTGCCCGGTTGCCCTTGAGATTACATTTCCATCCCGGAAAATCCTTGATTGTCATTGGTTGATGGATTGTTTTAGCACGTTATTATTTTTGCTCCCCCAAGGACGTTTCTATCGTGCATAAATGCGCTC